GCAACAACTACAACAACCAAACACCGACCAAACAACAAGCAAGCAAGCAACCAAGCAAGCAAGCAAGCAAGCAAGCACACAAACAAACAAACAAACAACCCATCAACAACCAACACCAAATTACGAACCACGATCAACAAAATAAGAAACAACAATCAAGCAAGCAAGCAAGCAAGCAAACAAACAAACAAACAAGCAAGCACCACAACCACCAACAACAACAGCAACAGCAACAACAAGAGTAAGAGCGAGAGCAAGAGCAAGATCAAGAACAAGAACACCAAGAACCACAACCACAAACAACCACAACAACCGCAACAACGACAACCACAACAACCACAACAACCACAACAACAATAACTTAACAAAACAAGAAGGAGGAAATATCACGCTCTGCGGCTAAGGTATCCCATCATGGAACCCGACAAATCGGCCCCAAACGAGTCCCATCCCGGGTCCAGCCGAAGACCAGACTGCCCAACGGCCGCGCTAGGAAGGGCACCGCAAACAGCATCCACGCCTCCGGTCTCATTGGGAAGCCGTTGTCACAATTTGGGAAGCCGCTGTCACTATTTGCGAGGGCACCCTTGTTAAGTTTGGCTACAGGGAACCCAAAAGGAAACCAGCCATTTTGTTGGCCCCCTATTGCGACACATACCTGACACGTTCCCATTGGAGAACCCTGTGGTGGACAAAAAAACATTCATGGGGATCTATTCACACTCCTAATCAAATGGCCAAGGAGTGACAAAGAACACCCTTCATCTTAGGCTCCCTCGCATAGCCTCACATTGGCAAGGCTGCTGTTGGCCCGTATCAACAGACTCACTATACTATTATACTGATTATACTGCTCATTTGACATTCCCCACCCCTATCTGGAGACTGGGGAAGTTGGTTACCCAATGCCTCCCAACGAAGCAGGTGACCATCAATTCCTCTCGCGGGACCTTCTCAGCGCTGCCCGAGCCGAAGACATCCTTCAGGATATCCTGCATGTAGCCGAAGACGGTCCAGTCGTACCATTCCAACACGTTCCCCAAAATCACTGCCTCGGCGGGAAATGCTTCTCATTTAGCCTTGTATGGAGAATGTATATGTCAAACTGCTTTTGTCAGCCATGGTCATAGTTGGATGTCCGAAATCCGTTAAGTAACATGTGTGCTGTGACCATTGCGCATATCCAGCATGCATTACACTTGGGTGCACGGATCCTTTCCAACCAGGCATTTTTGCCACACTGTGTTCTAAAATGGGGAACCCTCTTTGACATGCAGGTCCACAAATGTCCTAACATGGGGAACCGTCTTGGACATGCAGGTCTCACCCGTGTTTACCTGACCCATGTGAGTCACAATCAAACCTGGTACAAAAATGGTGAACCCAGAACCGTGTAGAGAATTAGAAAGGCGGCCGCAACTACTTATGGCTGGGATTGTCCCTTACTAACCTTCATCTACCCAGGTTTTGATTGTGGCTCATGTTTACCCCAGCCTTTGCGCGGCTAAGATGACTGTTTCTGAGTAGAGCGACTTGCAAGCCCAGCGGCTCCTGAAGACCTGTAGAGCTTCCTGGTAGGACGCTTCGCTGACCCCTATCTCACAGGAATATTCATATATGAAGTTTGCCGGACCCAAGCAATGCGCTTTTTAGTGGGACCCAAGCCATGGTCTCTGCTTGAGAGGGAAGCTGGAAAGACGCAAGACAAGGCATGTTGCACACGCAGAATGCAACTTTGGAACAAAGGTTCTGCCAAATTCCTGAATCCCATTGCAATTACACGGAACAGCCAGTGAGAGTTGAAGCCGGCCTCACGGATCGCCAGTAGTCCGCAGGCTTGGTGGCTGCCAGGGGCATTTCCCTGCAAGCGACCAAACGATCTCCACTTCCGATTTTGGCTCAAGTCTCTGGCAGACTCACAAGACCAGAGCATTCATTGCCCCCTTTCCCACCCGCTGCACAAGAAAGCCTCAACTTGCTCAAAACAGGGCTTCTATACGTCCCCTTCAAACAGCAATGGGAACCGAAAAGGTGACATTCAAACCACCGAGGAAACAACAAAGACTGTACGGACCTACTGTAAGGACCTCTGCAAAACGCCACCACAGCATAGTGCGCGCCTTGGAAGCTGTGGCATCTCAGCAGGCTCCATTGCCAGCAAGCGGAAACCCAAGGAACGATCCGTTTTTTGTGCTGGGAAAACAGTCGAACTTCATCTCTGCTCATCGCTATGTTGCTCAATAATGATGTGCACCTCTGTTTCAAGCCTTCAGGAGCACCAGCGGAGGACGTTGCGGTTGCTAAGCTCAAGTCACTCATGGGATTCCACTGCGTTCTGTTTTGAGTCTGCTGCCATGCTAGAATTGCACACATGGAAAAACACGCACTAGGCAAGAAAGGCATTCCACAATCTTCATAAAAATTGAATATTCCTCGAGCAGCCTTCACTTGCCCTATCTTGCCCTGCTTCAGCAAACATAAAGAAACACACAATGCCTGCCTGGAGGATGTCGGCAATCGGCCCCACCACCACTGCGCCTTTGAAAGCCAACAACATTCGCCGATTCGCATCTCAATGGTCAGCAGTCAGCTTTGCCCAGCAGCCGAAACAATGCCCCTCTGTCAAGGCTGAAGATCAAACGTCGGACATCACCCACAGCCAGTTGCTCCACACATACCCAACCTGTCCAAGACAACTGCAGATCTGCAACATGTCATGCAGGGAGAAGGAGGAGGGGAGGGGAGGGGAGAGGAGGGGAGGGGAGGGGAGGGGAGGGGAGGGGGAAGGGGAGGGGAGGGGAGGGGAGTGGAGGGGAAGGGGAAGGGGGGGGAGGGGAGGGGAGGGAGGCAGGAGGGAGAGAAACAGGGAAGAGGAAGAGGAAGAGAGAGAGAGAGTGAGCGAGCATGTGACAACACCTTTAACTAGACCACGGTTGGCCCGAAAGCATCACAGCCCCGTGACCATTCTGCGCAAGTTGCTCTGGGCAAGGTGCTTTGCGCAAACTGGTCTGTGCAAGTTGCTCTGCGCAAGTTGCTCTGCGCAAGTTGCTCCGCGCAAGTTGCTCTGTGCAAGTTGTTCCGTGCAAGTTGCTCCGTGCAAGTTGCTCCCTGCAAGTTGCTTTGTGCGCGCTGCTCTGCGCAAGTTGCTCTGTGCAAGTTGCTCTGTGCAAGTTGCTCTGCGCAAATTGCTCTGCGCAAGCTGCCCTGCGCAAGTTGCTCTGCGCAAGTTGCTCTGCGCAAGTTGCTCTGTGCAAGTTGCTCTGTGCAACTGACTCTGTGCAAATGTCTCTGTACAAGTTGCTCTGTGCAAGTTGTTCTGTGCAAGTTGCTCTGCGCAAGTTGCTCTGCGCAAGTTGCTCTGTCAAAGTTGCTCTCGGCACATTGCTCTGCGCAAGTTGCTTTGTGCAAGTTGCTCTGCGCAAGTTGTTCTGCGCAAGTTGCTCTGGGCAAGGTGCTCTGCGCAAACTGGTCGGTGCTCCGCGCAAGTTGCCCCGTTTAAGTTGGTCCGTGCAAGTTGCTCCGTGCAAGTTGCTCCCTGCAAGTTGCTCTGTGCACCCTGCTCTGTGAAAGTTGCTCTGTGCAAGTTGCTCTGCGCAAGTTGCTCCGTGCAAGTTGCTCTGTGCAAGTTGCTCTGTGCAACTGACTCTGTGCAAATGTCTCTGTACAAGTTGCTCTGTGCAAGTTGTTCTGTGCAAGTTGCTCTGCGCAAGTTGCTCTGCGCAAGTTGCTCTGTGCAAGTTGCTCTGCGCAAATTGCTCTGCGCAAGCTGCCCTGTGCAAGTTGCCCTGTGCAAGTTGCTCTGCGCAAGTTGCTTTGTGCAAGTTGCTCTGTGCAACTGACTCTGTGCAAATGTCTCTGTACAAGTTGCTCTGTGAAAGTTGTTCTGTGCAAGTTGCTCTGCGCAAATTGCTCTGCGCAAGCTGCCCTGTGCAAGTTGCCCTGTGCAAGTTGCTCTGCGCGAGTTGCTTTGTGCAAGTTGTTCTGCGCAAGTTGCTCTGCGCAAATTGCTCTGCGCAAGCTGCCCTGTGCAAGTTGCCCTGTGCAAGTTGCTCTGCGCAAGTTGCTTTGTGCAAGTTGCTCTGTGCAACTGACTCTGTGCAAATGTCTCTGTACAAGTTGCTCTGTGCAAGTTGTTCTGTGCAAGTTGCTCTGCGCAACTGCGCAAGTTGCTCCTTGCACTTGCAACTTGTACTTGACTCCATGCACTTGCAGCTTGCACTTGACTCCATGCACTTGCAACTTGCACTTGGCTCCTTGGACTTGCAACTTGCACTTAACTCCGTGCACTTGCAACTTGCACTTGGCTCCATGCACTTGCAACTTGCACTTGCAACTTGCACTTGACTCCATGCACTTGCAACTTGCACTTGCAACTTGCACTTAACTCCGTGCACTTGCAACTTGCACTTGGCTCCATGCGCTTGGCTCCTTGCAACTTGCAATGACTCTTATGACTCCTTGCAATGACTCCTTGCAATGACTCCTTGCAATGACTTTCATGATGATGATTCCTTGCAACGACACCTTGTAATGACTCTCATGAGAACAACTCAAGTGAACCCAGCGGAAGAACCCTTCGCCATGCTTTCGGGAAAAAAATCAGCCCAAAGACTTTGCAGGAGGAATCTTGGAAGATGACGAACAAAAACATCCACAACGAGAAGAAACAGCTCCAGCTAACTTAGAGACGAGGGGCGGAGCCGCTGCCTTCGCTTCTTGGGGTGCCAGGACTGCACCAGATCGCCGTCCGGCAGCAAGCGGGGGGTTGCCTGCGATGCGAGCGCGGACATTGGTTTTGCCGCTGCACTCAGGTTCCACTCATATCGCTCTTGTGCTCTCCAAGTAGACTTACTTGCTGACAGCCTTCCCAACTCAATATACAACATTAACTCACCCTTGACTTTCGATTTGTATGTAGAAACAGTTCCACTTTGACCTTGGAAGTCCAACCTCTCTTTGCTTGCATGGAATCCGCCGACAACAGACGGCGTGTTGGACACAAAAAATGCTCCTTATTTCAGACTATTGCGGAAGGGGTGGGGGGGGTCCACGTACCACGCGGTGATTCGAAGACGCTTCACTAAATCTGTTCATTGTGCGGGCTTGCGCAACTCAGTTTTTCCTTCACATTGGGGTGTTCGATTCCCTCCGGGTGCGCTTTCGCATCCTTAGCAGCTCCAGCGGCACATCGCCAGCATCACCTGCATCATCCGCATCAGCGCCTGCCAAGGATGCGGATGATGCAAGTGATGCTGGGGATGTTGCCCATGCTGGTGAAGGGGGGAAAGGGGGAAAGGATCTCAACAGCGAAAGGGGGGGAAAGATCTCAGGGAGGAAAGGGAGAAGATCTGGGGAAAAAATGCCTTAAGGGGGGAAGGGGGGAAAAGATCTTTGGGAGGAAAAGGGAAATCTTTCTCGGGGGGAACAGGCCCTATGGGGACAGGATCTCAAACGGGAAAGGGGGAAAAGACTTTGGGAAGAGAAGGGTGGAGATCTTGGGGGGAAAAGGGGGGGGAAACGGGGGAAAGGATCTTAAGCGGGAAAGGGGGGAAAAGATCTTAGGGAGGCAAAGGGAGACGAACTCAGGGTGCGAAAAGGCCTTAGGGGGGACAGGGGGGAAAGGATCTCAATAAAGAAAGGTTGGAAAAGCTCTTGGGGAGGAAAAGGGAGAAGATCTCAGGGGGGAAAAGGCCTTAGGGGGGAAAGGGGGGAAAGGATCTCAACAGGGAATGGCGGGAAAACATCTTAGGGAGGAAAAAGGAGGAAAAGGGATATGATCTCAGGGGGGGAAAAGGCCTTGGGGGGAAAGGGGGGGAAAGGATCGAAAAGCGAGAAGATCTCAGGGGGGGGAACGGCCTTAAGATCTCAGGGAGGGAAAGGCCTTAGGGGGGAAAGGGGGAAAGGATCTCAACACGGAACGGGGGCAAATGATCTTAGGGAGGAAAAGGGAGAAGATCTGAAAGGGCCTTCGGGGGGAAAGGGGGGGAAAGGATCTCAACAGGGACAGGGAGAAAAGATACTAGGGAGGCAAAGGGAGAAGATCTCGAGGGGAAAGGGGAAAGGATCTCAACCGGGGGAAAAGATCTTGGGGAGGCAAAGGGAGAAAGGGGGGAAAGGTTCTCAACAGGGAAAGGGGGGGAAACATCTTAGGAGGAGAAGGGAGAAGATCTTGGGGGGAAAAGGCCTTAGGGGGGAAAGGGGGAGAAAGGATCTCAACAAGGAAAGTGGGGAGCAAAAAAGGCCTTAGGGGGGAAAGGGGGGAAAGGCTCTCAACAGGGAATGGTGGCAAAAGATCTTAGGGGAGGAAAAGGGAGAAGATCTCAAGGGAAAAGGACTTAGGGAGGAAAGGGGGGGAAAGATCTTTGGGAGGAAAAGGGAGAAGAACTGAGGGTGGGAAAAGGCCTTAGAAGGAAAAGGGGGGAAATAAATGATCTCAACAGGGAACTGGGGGGGGGGGGAAGATCTTGGGGCAAAAAGGCCTTAGGGGGGAAAGGGGAGAAATGATCTCAACAGGGAAAGGGGTGGAAAAGATCTTAGGGAGGAAAGGGAGAAGATCTGGGGGAAAAAAGGCCAACAGGGAAAGGGGGGAAAGATCTAAGGAAGGAAAAGGGAGAAGCTCTCAGGGGGGGAAAGGCCTTAGGCGGGAAAGGGTGGGAAGGATCTCAACAGGGAAAGGGGGGAAACAATCTTAGGAAGGAAAAGGGAGAAGATCTGGAAAGGCCTTAAAGGGAAGGGGGGAAAGGATCTCAACGGGGAAAGGGGGCAAAGGATCTTAAGGAGGAATAGGGAGAAGATCTCAGCGGGGGGAAAGGCCTTAGGAAGGAAAGGAGGGAAAGGATCTCAACAGGGAAAGGGGGGGAAAGATCTCAGTGAGGAAAGGGAAAAGCTCCCAGGCAGGGAAAAGGCCTTAGGGGGGAAAGGGGGAAAGGATCTCAACAGGGAAAGGGGGCAAAGGATCTTAGGGAGGAAAAGGGAGAAGATCTGAAAAGGCCTTCGGGGGAAGAGGGGGAAAGGAGCTCAACAGGGAAAGGTGGGAGAAGATCCTAGGGAGGAAAAGGGAGAAGATCTCGAGGGAAAGGGGGAAAGGATCTCAACCAAGGGAAAAGATCTTGGGGAGGACAAGGGAGAAGATCTCAGGGGAAAAAAACCTTAGAGAAAAAAGGAGGGAAAGGATCTCAACAGCGAAAGGGGGCAAAAAATCTTAGGGAGGAAAAGGGAGAAGATCTTGGGGGGGGAAAACGCCTTAGGGGGGAAAGGGCAGGAAAGGATCTCAACAAGGAAAGGGGGGAAAAGATCTTAGGAAGGAAAAGGGGGAAGATCGTGGGGGAAAAAAGGCCTTAGGGGGGAAAGGAGGGAAAGGATCTCAACAGGGAGAGGGGGGAAAACATCGTAGGGAAGAAAAGGGAAAAACTCGGAGGGAGGAAGGGCCTTAGGGGGGAAAGGGGGAATGGATCTCAACAGGGAAAGGTGGCAAAAGATCTTAGGGAGGAAAAGGGAGAAGATCTCAGGGGGGGAAAGGCCTTAGGGAAAAAAAAAGGATCTGAGCAGGGAAAGGAAGGGAAAGATGTTAGGGAGGAAAGGGAGAAGATCTGGGGGCAAAGGCCTTAGGGGGAAAGGGGAGAAATGATCTCAACAGGGAAAGGGGTGGAAACGATCTTAGGGAGGAAAGGGAGAAGGGGGGAAAGATCTAAGGAAGAAAAAGGGAGAAGCTCTCAGGGGGGGAAAGGCCTGAGGGGGGAAAGGGTGGGAAGGATCTCAACAGGGAAAGGGGGGAAACAATCTTAGGAAGCAAAGGGGGGAGAAGGTCTTAGGGAGGAAAGGGAGAAGATCTGGGAGAAAAGGACTTAGGGGGGAAAGCCCAACAGGGAAAGGGGGGAAAAGATCTTAGGAAGGAAAAGGGAGAAGCTCTCAAGTGGGGAAAGGCCTTGGGAGGGAAAGGGGGGAAAGGATCTCAACAGGGAAAGGGTGGGAAAGATCTTACAAAGGAAAGGGGGGGAAGATCTCAGGGAGGAAATGGAGAAGATCTGGGAGAAAAGGACTTAGGGAAGAAAGCCCAACAGGGAAAGGGGGGAAAAGATCTTAGGAAGGAAAAGGGAGAAGCTCTCCGGGGGGAAGGGCCTTAGGGGGGAAAGGATCTCAGCAGGGAAAGGGGGGGGGGAAAGATCTTAGGGAGGAAAGGGAGAAGATTTGGGAACAAAGGCCTTAGGGGGGAAAGGGGAGAAATGATCTCAACAGGGAAAGGGGTGGAAAAGATCTTAGGGAGGAAAGGGAGAAGATCTGGGGGAAAAAAGGCCAACAGGGAAAGGGGGGAAAGATCTAAGGAAGGAAAAGGGAGAAGCTCTCAGGGGGGGGAAAGGCCTTAGGCGGGAAAGGGTGGGAAGGATCTCAACAGGGAAAGGGGGGAAACAATCTTAAGAAGGAAAAGGGGGAAAATCTGGAAAGGCCTTAAAGGGAAGGGGGGAAAGGATCTCAACGGGGAAAGGGGAGGAAAGATCTCAGTGAGGAAAGGGAGAAGACCCCAGGCAGGGAAAAGGCCTTAGGGGGGCAAGGGGGAAAGGATCTCAACAGGGAAAGGGGGCAAAGGATCTTCGGGAGGAACAGGGAGAAGATCTGAAAAGGCCTTAGGGGGAAAAGGGGGAAAGGAGCTCAACAGGGAAAGGTTGGAGAAGATCCTAGGGAGGAAAAGGGGGAAGATCGCGGGGGGAAAAACGGCCTTAGGGGGGAAAGGAGGGAAAGGATCTCAACAGGGAGAGGGGGGAAAATATCGTAGGGAGGAAAAGGGAAAAACTTAGGGGGGGAAAGGGGGACTGGATCTCAACAGGGAAAGGTGGCAAAAGGTCTTAGGGAGGAAAAGGGAGAAGATCTCAGGGGGGGAAAGGCCTTAGGGGGGAAAGGGGGGAAAGGATCTGAGCAGGGAAAGGGGGGGAAAGATCTTAGGGAGGAAAGGGAGAAGATCTGGGAACAAAGGCCTTAGGGGGGGAAGGGGAGAAATGATCTCAACAGAAAAAGGGGTGGAAAAGATCTTAGGGAGGAAAGGGAGAAGATCTGGGGGAAAAAAGGCCAACAGGGAAAGGGGGGAAAGATCTAAGGAAGGAAAAGGCAGAAGCTCTCAGGGGGGGAAAGGCCTTAAGCGGGAAAGGGTGGGAAGGATCTCAACAGGGAAAGGGGGGAAACAATCTTAGGAAGGAAAAGGGAGAAGATCTGGAAAGGCCTTAAAGGGAAGGGGGGAAAGGATCTCAACAGGGAAAGGGGGCAAAGGATCTTAAGGAGGAATAGGGAGAAGATCTCAGCGGGGGGAAAGGCCGTAGGGGGGAAAGGGGGGAAAGGATTCCAACAGGGAAAGGGGGGGAACGATCTCAGGGAGGAAAGGGAAAAGATCCCAGGGAGGAAAAGGCCGTAGGGGGGAAAGTGGGGGAAAGGGAGGAAAAGGGAGAAGATGTCAGGCCTTAGGGGGAAAGGGGGGAAAGGATCTCAACAGGGAGAGGGGGGAAAACATCTTAGGGAGGAAAAGGGAAAAAAACATAGGGAGAAAAGGCCTTAGGGCGGAAAGGGGGAATGGATCTCAACAAAGAAAGGGGGGCAAAAATCTCAGAGGGGAAGGGGGCAAGGGGACAATTCCAAAGGGACGCAAATAAGACAGCAGGCCTGTAATGTCGGCGGCCTGAGCCGGAGGCGTTAAACAATTTGACAAAGGTAACCATCCCCAAATCAAGCAAGGGCCGATCAATTTCGGCGTAATGGACAACACTAGCAGCACTAAAATATGACAAATGACCTCCCAAACCGCAGGCCCGCCTCGGGCAAGCCGAAGTCGCCTGCCGCCGCCGCCGCTGGCAGCGGCTGGTCCTGCAGCAGCCGCGCCGCCAGCCAGGCCACAGCGTTGTCGCTGGGCAGCGCCTCCGAGCGCACGCCGCAGATTTCTTTCGCAGTCCCCACAACTCTCAAATATCACAAAGCAAATGTGAGCTTTGTGAAAAAACTGAAATGGGATTGCGTCAAGCCACACGAGCCATGAAATATCTCACAAAAAGAACGAGGATTCCAAGTTTGGTCCTTCCCTATCGCCTGCTGAGGTTCCACGAGGCGTAGCCCGAAGACCGCCAGAAGCGGTCGGCCCGAGCCGCCGGCGCCCTCCAGGTCCTCCGCTTGCAGGGGGCGGGTTCTCAACGCAGGGGGGACTCCTCGTTTGATGCATGCGTGTGTGTCTGTGTGTGTGTGTCTTTGGATTTCTTGATGTTCTTCTTTGATGGGTTTAAACATGAAACCACAAACAAAACCATGAGGGTCACCTATTGGAGAAAGACCCGTTCATATACGGTAGACTGCACTTTGCAACAGTGCCCTAAGTATACAAACTGAAAAAGGACTGTTAATATGGACGCTGTGCAATTGGCAATTTGCGCAAAGCCCAGCGTGGCGTTCTTAGACTCCTCGTCGAGTCAAGTTGCTTGGGCTGCCGAGCAACCCTTGAGGGTCTCCATTGCTAGTCTGCTGGTGCTCGACTGACTCACGCCAAGTGACGCATTGCAACAGGCTAGGACTCACCATGCTTCCGCCTGCGGAATAATGTTCTGTCACGAGCTTAGCCTCCCTCCCCAATGAATTGTTGGATCCATCAGCAAATGTTGCTGCCGTGTCTCCCCTTGCAAAGATGCGTCCCAAGTCCAATCACTCTCAAATCTAGTTCGACTCGTACTAAAAGAGCATGCTAACGAGGAACGTGACGACAAACAAATATCCGAACTAATTGCTACGAGTACAATCAACATAGTATGATTTGTGTAAGGCAGATCTATCTGAGCCTGTTGCTTCAATTCCCCACTGCAAATAAGGCATCTTGTAAGGGACCTTCACGGGGTAAATCACCTGCTTTGCTCGCCTTCGGTGGAATCGCTCGGGACATGATTTGCCCAGCGCCTGGATTAATCAAAGGGTGCCTGCAGTCTGAATACCAGTCTGAATACCAGTCTGAATACCAGTTAGGACAGTTAGGATTCCGGCTTTACCAATGGTCGGCTTCCGTGGGGCGGGCCCCGCCTGGGCCGTCTCCCCGAGCCGTGACAAGACCGCCAGGGAAGCGCCCGTGGCGACCACCCCCAGGCAGCAGCAGAGACCCAGCGCCACCAACTTCCAGCTGACCTCAATAAAACGAGCGCATCTGATCTGCCAAACAAAATCAAACAAAGCTGGGTTTTCTTTGGCCTTTACCAAAACAACAAACATGTGCAAAGCGTGCCGACTGAACAGGTCCAGGCAATTCGTTGCGATCTGGATGGGTCTTGCTGTCGCTTCAAGCACAAAAGTGGCGCACGTGACAAATCGGCGGTTGACTTCTTTTGCTCTCTGCACCTTCCTTTAGGCAACCTGCGTTGTCTGCGCAGAGTCTGCGAAGCGTACAAGGGACACCATCAGCACAGAGTGTGTGAATGCGGCTGTGTGTTCTCGCCAAGAAACTAATTTATCAACATACCCTGCTTCAATCAAGTGACAGGTTGGGTTAGCCACACCGCAAAAAGTGACAAACAGTGACAATGTCGGAGAAGGCTTGGTACGAATCTCTTCAATCATACGGCAGCAGCCTTTTCTAGAGCACAGTGCCTTGTGTGTGTGTGTGCCAGTGTGTGGAGGGCATGCCCAAACCAAAAATGGCTCTCCGTGTTTCGTTGCAGTCTAAAGAGGGACATCCTCAGGCGCGGACTCACCCACGCACATCTCGGGTCAATCGTCTAAACTATTTGGATAGACCCAGAGTATTCTGATATTCAGAAGCGCAGGGATCGCAGAACCATGAGGGAGGCCCTTTGGATTCATCTTGAGACTCCCGCAGTACCTGAGGGGAAACAGTCGTCTTCCCAAAAGTCACAGGTCAACGGTTAAATGATCCAGTGTTGTCTTGCCGAGCCTTCGAAATGCGCAAGCTGACCAAGCCTGCCTCGTCCTCCTGCGGGTTTCGGTGATCTGCTGCAGTAATGCCTTGGTACTGTCCCCGGCGCATCACACAAAAAGCCTGAGTGCGCTTCCGCTTTGGGAATCCATGCAAGTCAGTGCATCCGTGATCCTGGCGACGCCGCAATTTGCTGGAGATCTTCCTGTGCGATGGCGAGCTCTTTTCGGCCTTCAATTCCCATTGGACAACGCTACAACTTGTATCCGGTTTTGTTAGATAAATCTCAGAATCCATTCAGCTCATCCCTCACTCATTGCAGTCATACGCCCTTACACACGAACTGTATAGGCAGTCCGCCTCTGTGATACTTGTGATCCTTCGAGTTATAAAGACGGATCTGTCCGCAGCACGTTGCTGCCCTAAGGCCGTTGTCATGAAGCATGGGCCCAGACTTCAACTCGTCGATTCTCTTCCCGCTCCTTGAAGGGGGCGGAGGCCGAGGGTCACCTGTGACCAGGCCATTCTCCTCGTCATAGTCTTCGGTGGGCACCTTGCCGACTCTCGAATGGAAGGATGCGATTTCACCGCAATCAAAATGAGGTCCGCAGTTTGAAAGAACTTCCACAATGCAAAGGGCAAACCTCCCACGACGGCCAACTGTGAACCTCAGGGCTCCAGCCGACTGTAGGATCATAGCTCCGAGGCCATGGGGAGTCACGCGTTCGTGCTTCTCTTCCACATCCCTTTTCTGCTCAAGCCTTTGAGCGAGCGATATGTTATTCCAGCCTAAGGCCATTCCAGCTGAAAATGTGTCAATGGGAAAAGCCTGGGAGCGTAGGAAAAATGCGCTGCAGTTGTCCATGATTCCAGCGAAACTGCTGCCGAAATGAGCAACAGCCAAAAGGAATGCGTCCTGCGAAAAACAAAGCATGGCGGAGCTTTTGTGCCCTCCGCTGAGCGATCTGCTCATAGAAGCTTCTGATTGCCGACACGCCTTGGAGTCACCAAAAGGCTGTACACGTCCAGCGTTCATTGCTCATGCTGGTCAAGCTAAAGACTCCACAATTGAAATGGATCTCGGTCATCAGGCGTGTGAATCCCATACGAACATATGAGGAGCGGACAAAACACTTTACTTGGCCCTAGTACTTTTTTGAACGTTATCGTTTTTGGGGGAGACCTTATCGTTTTACAGTGTTTTCGAACTTTGGCAGATCCGGCTCGAAAATCGCAACTTTGTGGTGCAAGTCTAGTACGCGAAGTACACTTCCGCATCTCCAGCTCGAAAATCGCAACTTTGTAGTACAGTCTAGTACGAGAAGTACACTTCCGCATCTCCAGCTCGAAAATCGCAACTTTGTAGTACAAGTCTAGTACGCGAAGCACACTTCCGGAATTCCAGCTCGAAAATCGAAACTTTGTAGTACAAGTCTAGTACGCGAAGTACACTTCCGCAGCTCCAGCTCGAAAATCGCAACTTTGAAGTACAAGCACATCTCCAGATCGAAAATCGCAACTTACAAGTAGTACAAGCAAGTCTAGTACGCGAAGTACACTTCCGCACTCCAGCTCGAAAATCGCAACTTTGTAGTACAAGTCTAGTACGCAAAGTACACTTCCGCACTCCAGCTCGAAAATCGCAACTTTGTAGTACAAGTCTAGTACGCGAAGTACACTTCCGCAGCTCCAGCTCGAAAATCGCAACTTTGTAGTACAAGTCTAGTACGCGAAGTACACTTCCGCAGCTCCAGCTCGAAAATCGCAACTTTGTAGTACAAGTCTAGTACGCGAAGTACACTTCCGCATCTCCAGCTCGAAAATCGCAACTTTGTAGTACAAGTCTAGTACGCGAAGTACACTTCCGCAGCTCCAGCTCGAAAATCGCTCGTACAAGCAGATCGAAAATCGCAACTTTGTAGTACAAGTCTGTACACTTCCGCACAGCTCGAAAATCGCAACCAAGTACGCCAGTACAACTTCCGCGAAGTACACTTCCCAGCTCGAAAATCGCAACTTTGTAGTACAAGTCTAGTACGCGAAGTACACTTCCGCATCTCCAGCTCGAAAATCGCAACTTTGTAGTACAAGTCTAGTACGCGAAGTACACTTCCGCATCTCCAGCTCGAAAATCGCAACTTTGTAGTACAAGTAGTACGAAGTACACTTCCGCAGCTTCCAGCTCGAAAGTCGCAACTTTGTAGTACAAGTCTAGTACGCGAAGTGCACTTCCGCGAAGTACACTTCCGCAGCTCCAGCTCGAAAATCGCAACTTTGTAGTGCAATCCTAGTACGCGAAGTACACTTCCGCATCTCCAGCTCGAAAATCGCAACTTTGTAGTACAAGTCTAGTACGCGAAGTACACTTCCGCAGCTCCAGCTCGAAAATCGCAACTTTGTAGTACAAGTCTAGTACGCGAATTACACTTCCGCAGCTCCAGCTCGAAAATCGCAACTTTGTAGTACAAGTCTAGTAAGCGAGGTACACTTCCACATCTCCAGCTCGAAAATCGCAACTTTGTAGTACAAGTCTAGTACGCGGAGTACACTTCCGCAGCTCCAAATCGAAAATCGCAACTTTGTAGCACAAGTGTAGTACGCGAAGTACACTTCCGCAGCTCGAAAATCGCAACTTTGTAGCACAAGTCTAGCACGCGAAGTACACTTCCGCAGCTCCAGCTCGAAAGTCGCAACTTTGTAGTACAAGTCTAGTACGGGAAGTACGCTTCCACAGCGCTCCAGCTCGAAAATCGAAACTTTGTAGTACAAGTCTAGTACGCGAAGTACACTTCCGCGAAGTACACTTCCGCAGCTCCAGCTCGAAAATCGCAACTTTGTAGTGCAATCCTAGTACGCGAAGTACACTTCCGCATCTCCAGCTCGAAAATCGCAACTTTGTAGTACAAGTCTAGTACGCGAAGTACACTTCCGCAGCTCCAGCTCGAAAATCGCAACTTTGTAGTACAAGTCTAGTACCCGCCTTGATAAAGTGGTCTTCGTGTGTTTTGTCCGTGGCTCATATAAAAACTCAGTGCCAACTCCGCTCTGTCTACTTGAACTACGGGAGCTGGCAGATCATAGTGCTGCTGAGGCAGTTCCCCTGATCCGGGTTTTTGGCGCCCGTGCCCTCCGAGTTGTAGTAGAGGCTACAGCCACCCCGGCAAGCCCCGTAGAACATGCAGCCTGACAAGAAAACTCGGAGGAGGCTGAGGTGGGGTCTGGGAGCACTCCAAACCTCGGCATTGCCCTGCATCAGCCGTGCCATGTCATGCCAGCAAGAGGCGCTGGAACAAAACAAGCTCCTGGCCAAGGTGCTATAACGATTCTCATGCTTTCCGATCCCTCCGTTCTTTCCCGCGCCTTTGGGCCAGCTGGGCTGGCTCGCCTCTCTGAGCACCTGGGCCCAGCCTTGGCCATAGCAGCCCTCGCCCGGCTGCAACGTGTCTGCCGCCTCCGCGCACTGCGCCTGCTCCACCGCCTTGAAGGGCGCCTGCCCGTTCGGCCCAAGCCGAAAGCCCTGAGTTTCAGTGGACTTGGCGCCTGTGGAGATTGGATTCATGTCCCTGAAAATCCGTGTGGAACGAGATGGGGTCAAACATCGAAATGCAATTTGGTCATCTCTGATTGTTCACATCTACCAGGAAGAGCATGGCATGGCTGCCGAAACTGCATATTAGATTCTACGGCGAGAAAGCTTGAAAATCTTCAAGAACCAGCATTTTCCAGAGCTCGCCTGGCAGGCATAGTCCTCGTGCGGGGTGGCATATGCGCGGCCCGATGGAGCCCGCGTGACCTTAACCCAGTCCTGGGCACTTTGGATGCTGTTAGAAGGTTGTGATCTCGGCTCACGAAGGAGTTGCATGCCGGTTGGTCAGGACTGCGCAGTGGATGGTTTACTTGTTACTTCAGAGATATCAAAGGCCGCCGAACAACTGAAACATCCTTGAAAACTAGCCAAAAGGTGTGGTGCTTAAAACCTGCAAAACTCCAAGGGAAAACAAGAAGCATACCCTAAGGACTCTTGAATTCACCACACTCACCAACCCCATTGGTGCTACAGCGCTATGCAATCAAGCAGTGTCCTGCAGCTTCGCTGCTTCCGTCGATAAGGCGCCGCAAGACCAAAGTTGGATCTTCGCACCGTTGGAGGCGTGGTTGCCATCCACGACCAGGCACATGTCGTAGTTGCTGTGGGAGGGGATCTGTCCTTGATTGGGGACGCTCCAGCGCTGATTCTCGTTGGCGTCATTGCCTTGGTCCATAGAGAGTTGGGGCCATAATTACTTTTGAGCTTTGGGCCATGAGTGGGGCATGTCGTCCGCCTATGCAAGCGAGCAGCACTCCCACAGCTGGATCTTGGCACCATTCACGGACTTATCCCCGTCAATGACCACGCAGTATGCAGGATCCGCGCTGCTCCGAATCCGGCCCGCCTCATCCACGTGGAAGTTTTGGCCCACGCTCGTCCAGCTGCGATCACACTCCCAGAGGTGCAGCTTGACGTTGTTTTTGATGCGGTTCCCGTCGCTGGACAAGCAAAAGTTGGGGGAGGCGCCATAGACCAAATGTTCCACAACCTGAGGCTCTTGTCTCACCGCTCTGCTATGTACAGACACCAGGGTTGGTTGCCTTTCAACCTAAACCGCCAGTGGATGGCAAAAAAGGGCACCCGTTTTATTGGCCCTCCAGTGTCTGGGTCAACAAAGGATCGCTTTGAGACACCCACCAACCCTCGCAATCCCAAAAAGCGGGACCGGGGTTCGAAGCACACTCAGTGAATCCGAAGTTGGAACCATCTTGGATCTAAGGTTGGACAAATGAGCGGTAAAGCCATACAGAAAATCACATTCCTCGAAATCCCCCAGCATGCACTTATGTGGCCAACACCTTTCTCAACTTCTGTCCCATTGCAAATAGCTTCAAATCTCCCAAGTATGCAGGAATCAGAAAGACAGTGTCACATCTGTGCTCCAATCTGCTCCTATCTATTCCATTCTGGGGGGGTGCAGCTTTTCAAAAATGAGCGGGCCTTTTGCAGTCCCTGCACTCTGCAAAGCCAGATTGCACTTGGGTGGTTCTGGAGCAAAGCACTTGAGAGCCGGGCAGGAGCCTTTTTCACCGTAGCAAGTACGGCAGGCTCGACTGGTTCCTTGCCGCTCGGCTGAAAAAAGGTCAGTCTTCTGTACATGGTTGCATTCAACATTGAATGGAGATTCTGAGCAAAGTGCAAGATTTGTCCGCTTGTCAATACAAATTGACCACATGCACGCCCATCACAAAGAGCCATGGACCTTGTTGCAAGCCTGCGGAGTGACACAGTCCACGACCGCCATGCACCCCACCCTGCCTCTTTCGTTGGAACTGGCACCTGTATCGATGCATGGCTCCAGGCTTGAAGATTTGCCATCTGCATGTCAAAGCACACACAGGGGGAGACTCTGACTCTGTAACAAACCGATGTTACCAATGCGACTGAACCAGACACTCGCCACAGCAGGTGCTTAGAGCATTCATTCTATCAAAAACCAGGTGTGAGCAGTGTGAGCCTCCAAAATGTGACCTGAACGATGGACACAATATCTCCTGAGAGAACCATTCCAAAACCACGTACCCTGCGGCTACCCTGCCAGCGCGTTGAGCCCCACCTCTTTGAGAAGTCCAGCTCGAAGCTGGCGCAAGTCAACTTGGCACTCCTGTCGGACTTTGGCTTGACATCGCCGATATTTTTGAGGGGCTCTTTTGGGGGTTCTACTAGAGTCCAAAAGGAAGTTTGTGCAAACACGTCACTGCTAGTCGCATTGACGAAAAGCTCCATGTCATAGTCACTACATTCAGTGCACACAAAACGTTCTGAGGCTGCAAAAAAAAACATGAGTTGGATTGACAGTGTGCATTGTGCGCCTTTCATTTCCAAGAACACGGTATGTTTTTGCGGCCTCTCAGGCAGCTTCCACATGCTAGCACTGCTGCAGGCCAGGCATTTCAAAGTTTTGGCCACAGTCCTCACAGTCATCTTGCAGCAAAGGATCTGCGGCAGCTAGGGCAAGGCACGTTGCCTCGGATCGACAAGGTGACGCCTGCAGAGCTTACACCGCTTGGTCTGGTTTCCGAAGAGTCAAAAAGAAACCACAACTCATGACTCTAAACTGGGTGGAGCAAAAGCTGCCTTTTCGAACAGAGTTGCTGTTGTTGCTGCGGCTGGAGTCGCCGTCTGAAAAAGATTGGTTAATGAGCCGTGCCTTGGACTTGCAATAGGGTCGTACAAACACCAACTTCTATACCAGCATATTGAGGGAGTCAACAAAACGTCCACAAGGCCCCGCTCCCTGCGCCCTCCAACTTAAGCTTTGGCGCCAGAAGTCGCATGGCTGCCATAGCGCCCCTCTGCAACGCTCGTAGCTATGAAAGGAAAAAGGCCCGCTTTACACAGAGCCACTATAGGCGATCCGAAGCACATGTGCTCACGGGCTTTGTCAGGAATTGTGCTTCTTCGTGATTGCTCGATTCCTTTGCCTGCCCTTGCCTGCCATTCGTATTTTGCAAGCCATGCTGTCCGCATATGCTCCCTGCGGTCCACTCTTTTCATGTGGAAGCGCAGCGCCAAGCACGTCTGCGCCTGCACAAAGCGGAATCTGAAAGCACCACGCCTCCTGATCGGCTAAGGCGAGAGCTTCGGACAGAAGATGGAACTTGTGGGTTACAACTGGCTATGCTCCGCTCCGTCACTACTAAGATTCATCCACGGAGAATCTCGTGACTGCCAAGTCAGGCAGTCGCATTGGCTGCTGGATGCATGCTTCTCAATGGGTTGACGCACCAAAGCAATCGCTTGTCTTCTGAAGTTCCTCGTGACTGCCAATGAAAAGGACGCCATGCATTCAAGACATGATCCTGGAATTTACTAAGCACGGTTGCCATAGCCAGGTTGCCACTCAACTTCCACTCACCAAATGCCTCCAAACCTGGTTGGCAACTCATGTTGATTTCAGCACCTAACTTTCCGTGTACAACTCCAAAACGTGTTCGCGACCCAGAGTCGAGCCCTCCTCGCGGTGTTACCCAGCGAGGAATCTGCAGCCCGGGCCACAGGCGCCCTTGGCCGTTGAGAAACCAGCCCGTAGGCCCGACAACGAACGGGTGTGGCTTTTTCGAGGGCACCTGTTTGGGGTGATGGTTTCAAAGAGGAACTAAAGGGAAAACCAAACACATTTTTGGGGCGTCCCCTATGTTGAGACACACCGCACCCCCACCCCTTACAAACAACACCACCCACACCCGAACAACCCCACAAGCATCCACAAGCCCCATCCAACAATCCCAGCACCACAACCATCCCTACCCGGGGGAGAAAACAAAACGACGGTCCCATGCGTTTCTCCAGGCTTGATGGTGTTGGCCAATTGAAGACCCCCGGTGACAAGAGTTCTCTCAGCTCGGGATCCAAGCTTGCATTCACTTGGCTGGCGCTTGAGGGGTTCCCGGGAGTCTGAGAATACAAGCAACTGTTGGCCTTGAGACTTGTCAAATCGCCATCAGCTTGGCGCGCAAAGGGCGGCCCGAATCCTCAACCTCCCGTCAAGTCCCGCAACAAGAATGTTGCATCTCCGGCCCCGTCCGGCCTGCCATGATCCTTATGGCAGGACGGGCCAATGATCTTGAGAAAGCTCGGGCCCAAACGTGTGCAATCGCCGAAGCAAACCCGAGACTCAGGAAGATAGCATTCCAAGTATGGAAGGGAGGCAAGTTGCTGCCAAAGCTTTAGAACTTGGCAAGGATGCGGGTGTCGGTAATGGTGGGGGGAACATGCAAGCAAACCTCATCCGTTCTGGCGTATGTTGGCATCATTGTCGAAAGCCCAATGCCTGAAAGTGACCGATTAGGTCCTTGCATGAGAGCTTTGTCTTGCACCAGGCTTTAAGAAGCCAATCTTTGGCTCCTGGCACTACCTACTGTCACATGACCCAGCTGCTGCGTGCTGGCCAAGAAACTGGATTGTGTTTTGGCAACAGAACTGAGCGCAGCTTTCGGGGCAGGTCGTGCAACCCTACCGACGAATCGACTCGCTTCCGCGCAGAACTGCCGAACAGAAGCCGTGAGGCTCCAAAGCGGCATTCCGGCACAGTGCTGATTCATACAAGACTGGGTTTTCGGGAAAGAATATCATCCCAACTTGGAGTCATATCATCACGCCCGGCCGCATTCTTGCGAGCGCTGCGCATCTGAGCAGCGGCTCTTTCGGAACAGGAAACCAAGCAAGAAGCGGGTTTCTCGGCGTCTAAGCACCGAAGCCCTGCCTCACATGACAGCCGACATCTGCATCTCTCTTTGCTGCTCCTCAGGTGAAGCTCATGCTGCCAGCACAACTCCTAAATAAAGGACGGACAGTGCAAAAAAGGCATAGCTTGGAAGGCTTGAGGTTGAAGTTTTCTGTGAGGGATGTACTGCACATCTCGGATCAGTCTTCTAGCCCGCAATCTGCTCCCGGTCTGGCTGCATCTTAGGATCTTCTCGGTGCAGGAAGGTTGGGAAGTTCTCCTCAGCTTGCTCGAAGCAAATCCAGATGCTGGCGACTGCAACTGCTTCAGACTCTTCCAATCAAAAGAAGGCTGCCACCCTGGATTGAAATAAAAGGCAACCCCAGTGCTTGGTGCGACAACTCTCCCAAAGCTCCAAGCTTCTTGAAGAATCTTCCGGGCTCGGAGCTCATCTGGATAGATTATCCTGCAAACCATTGCTTCCGACCGTCTCCCACTTCTGCAACCACTGCATGTGCGTCATGTCCAGCAAGCGTTTGGCGGCTCCAAAAATGGGAGACCTTTGAGTTGGTGTGCAAGCAGAATCCAAGAGCAACCTGCCAGTTTCAGTCCCATCTGCAATTCTGCCTATTTTAGGACAAACCCATCTGCAATTCTGCCTTACCTCAGCTCACCTACCTGTGCAAAGGATGCCTAGTCAGACAAAGGGAACTCACTTCGCAGGCAACACGCTTGCTCCGCAGACCCTGAAGTTGGCCGCCATTCCACAAAACATGAGCCCGTGCCCCAGTCGAGCCTAGGAGGCGGCACCACTGACAGGCCCTGCTCTGCAAAGTCCAGCAAGGCCTCGCACGGCTGAGTCAGTAGCGAGCTTCCAGCACAGCGGCCCGTCATGCTGAGTCACAGGTTCAACCATATTTATGCATCATACATTGCAGCACAGCACAGCACAGCACAGCACATTACGTTACATTACATTACGCTGCATTACATTACCCTACATTACATTACGTTACGCTACATCACACTACATTGTGTTACGTTGCATTACGTACACGTACAAATGTATATACATACGAACGTGCATGCATAGAAGCAAATTTACACATATCATGCTTATCAATTACATGCGTGTGTGCATATATACATAACATCATACCTGCAGGTATAATATCTGCATTGAACACATATGTCTGTATACATACATAATATATATATATATATATATGTATACTACATTTTACATAATACTATAGCACATATTATATATATGTGCCTCCGCCTGCCCACCAAGCACAGTGGCCGCCTTGACTTTTTCGGCTAGCGTCTTCTCTAGCGAAGGTAGCGCCTGTTGCAGGAGCAATACCACGGAGCCGCTGGGCCTCAGAGCAGCTAAAAGCGTCACAGGCCTGCTGAAAGAGCAAGCCAGGGAACAGGGGCAGGCTGAAGCCAGGAAAACGGAGCATCAAGCCAGCGGAGCATACCAACGGCGTGAGCCGCTGGTCTTTTCCCAGCGCGCAGAATTCAGTGGTGCGGAAAGAGCAGTGAGTAGGCCAAAGGCCGGTGCATTCACTGACCCTGTGCTGCGGGTGCTCGTGCGGCCACACAATGAAGTCACGGTTGGTCGGCGTGCGTCGGGAAGACGCAGGTCGAGCCCTCGAAGACCAGCGAAAAAGGCGGCAGCTGGGCGTCAGCACACGACATGCGGCAGTAGGCTTGGAGCAGGTGAGGACGTCGGTGAGGAGGCGCAAAACCGCAGCACTGGCTGCGTCGCTGCTGCTCGGCAACTACGCTGTCCAGGAACACACCTGTGTGCACTGGTCAAGTCCACGGAGCCAAGGAACAAATGCCGAGCGACATGGTAGAAGGCGCCGTGGCGCACCAAAACGGGCCACGTTGCTGTGGCCGGGGACCGGAAGCAAACAGCGGCGTTACACAGGCAAACGACGGCCCGAAACTGACGGCTACACGGATGCGCGCCGGTGAACAATGCCTGCAGCTCTGGCGACGCGTAGCTCAGGCCTGGGCACTGTTGCCGCGCCGCACAGGATGTGGACATGCAGCGCGGCAGCAGCAGGCTGCTTGCGGCAGCAAGCAGTGGTGCGCCAGACGCCAACTGACGTGCCATGGCGCAACCTGCAGCTAGAGAGCGCGAGGGGCAAGCCCCAAAAGCGAGCCCAGGACCTGCGGAGCCCAAGACCCACCCGGAAGCCGTCGAATGGGAGCAAAAAGCGCAGAACCTTGCGCACCTGGACCGTCCTAGGAGACAGGGCCCCCCCGTTGTCCAAAGTTCAGACAGATGCAAAACCGTGTGCTGGACAGGAGGCAGGACGACTACGTCTCAGGCGCGTGGAACCCTGGCGCCAGCACAAAAAAGCTGCTGCTAGGAAGGTAGATCTTGTAAATACTTACAAGATATTCTGTCAGCGTATCGTTGCCACCATCCTCGCCTGGAACTGCGCCTGGCCGTCCGCCTGGCCCAGCAGCAGCGCCTGCAGCGCCGTGGCGTCGCCTGGTTTGCTCCGAGCGCTCCGGGGGCCACGCGAAAGGCACAGTGCCATTAAAAGAAGGGGGAAATGGGCTTTTGGGGTTTTTGGGGATTGTAGGATTAGGGGACTTTGATGTTAATGGAAACCCAAACAATACAATGGATTTCAGGGGATTGTATAAAGGGTGTCGGGATGTAAAGCTTGCTGGCTCTCACGGAATGAGTTCAGGGAAGCAAAGTGTTAGGAAACTTCCTAATAATATCAAGCACAACCTAAGTGAATGATGGGACACGTGTAGGGGGGTCAAGGAACACGGAACGATTGGCAGGGAAAACTAGGAAACGAGGAAACAAAGACAAGCCTTCTTATGTGCTCATAATATTGTTCTGGTCTGTTTGAACAAAGAATGTGAACAGTGAATATTCATGCCCCCAGCTGACATTGGACTCTGGTGAGTCCCCAGTCCCCTGTTTACCGGTAGTTTAGTGAGTGAGCCCAATTTCATCTCGTCAAAGAAACTGAAGAAGCAGCCCAGCTAACATTTTGCAACGCATGGCACGGATATTGGAACAGCTACTCAAGGGACGAGCGCTGAGACCCAGGGTGCGTTTTCCTTTGATTGTTTGCTTTCTGGGGTGATGTTAAAAGGCAAAGTGAAGGGAAGTTAGCGATGTGAGGAGTGTCCCATGAGACTAACCCAATGTCTTGCCTTCAGGCAGCGATGGACACAGCTCCGAGATGAAGCCGCTCAGCTCCTCTGCCTGCAAAAAAAATCGGAAAAGGATTATGCATCCGCAAAGTTGCACTTGAAACACAGCCCAATAATGGCACCCTCAAAGAAGGGCACACATTTGGGTACGAACTTTTGTTGGACATCGTGTATGTGGGGATTTATTTCTGCTAGCCATCTTGTGGGCATTCTCCATTGAATTGTATACCCATCTGAGTGACAGCAAAATTTATTGATCTGAAGGATATGGGAAATTGCGAAGGCCACTTGGGCTCTGAGGAATCTGGGTGGCCAGTTCTTGTCCTGCACAAAATATGACTAGCAATCGCAAGTTGCCTATTTGGATTGCCGGCGATATGGAAAGTAGAAGCCCGCATGCCGCGCATGCATGCCTGTCTGCCTGCTGCCCCGATTTCATTGATAGTTCTGGCCGCAACCACGGTCATGGAATACAACCGCAGCACTGGGAGTCAACAGCAAGTGGTAAATTTGGAAGACAGCAAAACAGAGGCACAAAGCCGGTGAAGCCGTTCAAGTGAAGCTTTTCAAGCAGCGCACCTTGCACCGCCATTTTCTCCCAACGATGGAGGCTTGCATGTGTCTTTTCGAGTGGGGACCGTTGAATTCTTACAGGACTTTACATGTTGCAAGGAGTGAGCCCGGACTTTGCCAACCAGAACTTGGCCTGGAAGACGCTGTGCTCGGGGGTTCTGGCAGCAAGATCTCCCCTCACCTCGGAATCGAACAATTCAGCTCGAGGGCAAAGTCTGTCGGAACGCTTCTCTGAGCCACTGGCCCGCAGTGCTGACATATCAATTTGGACAATGCTTGGACAATTTGGACAACGGGCGTCCATCTCCCAAGTCCCTTTGCCTGGCCCCTCTTCAGCGCAGTGAGGTGCCGGCCATAGGGCGAAGGTACCGTTGCAAACCTGAGAGCACTGCTGCGGGAGAATGGTAGGGCACGCAACGGATCTGTACCAAATTACCAAATGGCTGGGTTCACGTCGTTTGTCCTTTGACATCAATAAACCAAAAACATGTCATTCAAAGTAGCACCCAAAAGGAGATGTTTCAATGACCTAAAGGGCGGAACCTCTCAAACTTCTGGCTCTCCTTTTGGTGTCCAGCTAATACTTAAAAAGAACAACACGCCCAAAACAGGGGGCACGGGGTCCAGTTTGAGCCAAGCTACGAATGGCCTGCTCCGAGTGCACCCGCTGCATGCGGGGCTTCCTGAATCTGAAGCACAGGTCAAGAACAGTCTACCCTCTCAAAACCTCATGTCGGGGACCTGGACGACAATTTTCCTCATGAAGACATGTTCTGTTTCCGGGGTGGGGTGGGTGTGGGTGTGGGTGTGGGTGTAGGTGTGGGCGGGGTGCAGGAAGGGAAGACTACTTTCCTTTTTGGGACCCTCCCTGTCCATGATTTGCTGAAAATGGGTCATGTCTCTTCCTGCGGTCACTTGGGCATCGTCATGCAACCTGAACGTCTAGAGTGAGCCCCTAAAAAACCAAGTTCCTCTTCGGAGAGCGTCGTCTAGTTCCACGTCAGTGGCAGGCAGGGTCAAAAGAAAGCAGTGATGTCAAAAGAAACATATGAGCAGGATAGGAACATATGAGCCAAACTAGAAAGTTAAGATATTGTTGGTGTTTCTTGGTTGTTATTTCAGCAAAATAACATCCCAAAGGGTCTTTCCAACATTTTGGGACACCCGAGCCTATACTGCTCAACACAGCACATTAGGTTGAAACCAACATTGGGCCAACTCGTTGTTAGCATGCGGATTTCCGGTTTGTTGCCCAACCGCAGCCAAACAACTTTCAGAACTTGCTAAGAACTGGATTGGGCACAGCTCCGATTGATATAGTGACACATGTCGCCAAGTCTTCGCAGCGCCATATTGTGCTGTGTCAAGGAGCTGTCAGTGCCAATCCCCAAACATGCATCCATATGTGTCTACTTGTTGGTACTTTGCTTCTATGCTGTTTCCTTCGGCTCAAATGCCGTTTCCTTCGCCTCCAACGAAACGGAATCTTTGCCATATATATATATATTAATACGTATATATATATATATATGTTAATATATATATATATATTATTATGTCATCTTTAGTGGCAACCCCTGCATCTGGCATCCCGCGTTATACCCCTCAGCTCCACTCCAGGCAATGAGGCCAAGGTGCTCATCGACAGCTGGAGGAGCCTTGGGCTGGATGTGGTATTTCTCAGCCCCACAAAAGCCGGTAGTGCTCTAAAGGTCCCAAAAGCAAAAATCCAAGTTTGCTCCAGGCGGGGCCGAGGCAAATTTTCCCTTCCCACATCTAACGGGGGAATTGCAGGACCCCTGCAAAAACTTAAGCCCCGACCATGCAATATATGCACCCCCTTCAACCCATGGACAATTCTCTTCGTTCCCCAGAGGAAATGGGAAATTTGTTCCTCCTTTCTTATTCTCACCACACCAACAGTAGACCGCCCCATTTAAGTTTGGATTCTAAGGGTCCCGAATTTCTGGATTTCAACCATTTGAATTAGCTCCAAGTAGCCCGGAGCTTTCGAGCGGCGGCCACGCGGCTGCGCTGCTGGCTGCGCTTCAGCTTCAACGCCTCGAAGCGGTGCTCCAGGTAGCTCCAGCCTGTCCGAGACTGCAGCCCGCTGCAGCCCGTTGCCCGCTACCCGTCGAAGCCATGGGGTTGGGAACCGGGGAAGGGCTACACTCTGCCGGAAACACTTCAGATCTGCAAGATAGCGTAGGTAGTGGGGAAATCTCTTCAGATTGCTTTTTGTGAAGGAGCGTAGGTATGCGGCCAAGAAGCAACGCGAATCCACGTCGTACGGCCTCTGAGCCTGGTATGCCTGGTCAATGTCTTCAGCTGCAGCCTCCTAGCAAGGCCCGATTCAGCCCCAAGACTCTGAACTGCTCCACCCCAACAACTTGCAACTTCAAAATTGGGCCTGCGATTTCAGTGCAAATGTGATCTCTATGGCCATCCCTGCGTGCGTAAACAAGAAACTAAACCTTGAAGTGCACTCCAGACAAAGTACCTCCATGTAAACTTACTGCCTGTGTAGCCCTCCTTGGTGATTGCAAACCAAATGGGAACCACCTTGACTTTCAGGGGGTAAGATCCGATTTTCAGGGGTTGCCAAACAAGTTTCATCCGCCAGGGTTTTATTTATAAACCGTTTGTTTGAACCGCTTAGACTCCCTCCCTCCCTTCCATGGGACCTGGCGAAGGAAGGCCCAATCAACTGGTCCCCACTCACATGAGCCATGGTCAAAACTTTGAAGGTCCCCGCAAGCGGACCTGGAAAACGAGTGAGTTCCCCAGGTTTCGGGGAGTCCCCCCCCATGCTCCCTCCCAACTGTAAGATAGGCTACTGGCTTGGCCCTAAGTGGCCTCACTGAAAGCTCCTCGTCTTTCTCCTTCCTCGGCCGCTTGATGCGCCGGAAGAGCGACTGGCTCCGAGAGCAAATGGCGTCCCCATCACCAATGATGGCCTAACCCGGCGAAGAAGTCGGCGTTTGCACCAAGTTTCTATAGTAAGATGCCACGAGGCTGTAGCAGGAGCAAACTAGCTAGATGTAAGACAAGGAAATTGCCACAGGGAGGAATGCTGAATTTGTAACAATAGAAATGGGAATAGAGGCCTTGGTAAACCTACGACGAGTTGAAGGCTTCTCTTTGAGAGACATGCAATTGAAGCTGTCTTCCTTGGGCGTGTCCTTGAACGTCGAACCTGTGGGGTGCCTGGCCACATTGCAACCGAGCTGCGATGTGTGGCTGCTGCTCCCCGCCCACCTCGATGACAAGCTATACCACTTGGGCATGGGTCAAAGAGTCAAAACTATGACTGGGTGAAAGCAAATGGGACGATTCATGACGATTCCCCCGCTTCGGTTTCGTCAACTCTGTCACAAGTGGAATCGCGCAATCTATCACACTGATGTATTTGGGGTGCCGCGTTTGGGACCAGCTTAGAAACAAGCTACATAAGCTACCAAGCATTAAGCATTAGCAGCCTCATGCACCAAATCTCCGTTGCCACTGCGCCAAGCAACGGCCTGTTCCGAGCGGGGCCGCTTTTCTTGCTCTCTCGAAGGCTGGATTCAGAAACAGAATCATTGGTGGTTGACACACAGTTTGCAGCGAGCCTAAGGTCCCCAGCTTTGCCTCCGGTTTCCTTGCGGGTGGTTCTCTCCCTCAAGGCCCAAATCCATCCCCTCTCCCCCGGTAGCCTCAAGCTCCAAGTGCGCGAAGCCTCGCGGAGCCGGCTGCTCTTGCACCCACAAAGGGAAAGTCAATATATTCGGCCATGCTCCCTTTTGTTGGGCACCCATCAGCTGCAAGACGACGATCCTAGCGACTTGCAGCTCCCAATGCACATGCCCCAGGTCACCTCAAATGCCCAGAAGTGTTCGGATATGAAAGGCTAACCTTTTGCAGCCGAACCCAAACTATAAAGCAAGTCAAAGCTCGGCTTGGGGCAACTGAGTCGCATTGGCTGTCCCCACTTTCCCCAAGGGTCTCTTGCACACAGTCTTGCCTCCGCTATCCACTGTCAAGGGCATCTGCACCTGACCCCGTTGCGGTTTCTGGTGGAAAGAAAACAACTCCATCCGAGTTCAGTGGTAGGGGGGTCTAGACTCTTAGACAATTTGACGAATCAAGCATCCCTCTAGTACAAGTGGGACATGGGAACCATGCCTCGACAAATAAGGCGAATGTGGGGGAAAAGGTGTACAACTGTGATCTACAACACCGTTAAACAAAACAACGATTAAAGAAACTACGCTGTGCTGCTTGTTTTCGTCAGAATTCAAGCCTCGGTGTTCACAACCATACGGCATGACTTGATGGACCCATAAAAGCACACTTGAGCACACTGCATGCGCCCAAAGAAAAAAAACAACGCAAATTGTAGTCCAATTTGCGAAATCAGCATAAGCCGTTGGTAAAACAGGCTGAACCATAACCTGAAAATCGAACATGAAGTCTCCGGGCACCTTCTGCTTCTCTGAGCCCATCTGTAGATCCATACTCCCTGAAGCCACGCGGCGTCGCGGATGTTCTCCTCACCAGAGTGACGCCGAACCGTGCTCTAAGAATATCAGCAAAAGCTGACTTGAGATGCTTGGGGTCGTTGTCAACCACACGCCCATGCAGCCCATGCAGCCCCTGCAGCCCCTGCAGCCCCTGCAGCCCATGCAGCCCATGCACATGTCCAGGGAATGCCATGCAGCCAGGCCTGTCCAAAGCTGCACCTGCAAACGATCCTCAGCATGGCGCGCACGGGACCAAGCATGGAAAGCGCAAATCAATGAAGGCAGCTTCCAAGGCGTCATATCGGCGCTGACAAGACGGCACATCCCAGTAGCTGTTGGCAAGTCTAGGTCGATCTCAAAGCCCAAAGGCATCCGAGGCCACCTGACCGCTTGCCAAGACGGAAAGGACGCGCCCTATGTTCACTTCTGCCACGGGCAAAATACAGGTGGGCCGCTCAATTCATTCGAACCGCACATCCACCAAATTCATAGGTATGTGTCAAAATAGCAGAACCCTCAAATTGGATGGCTTCCTTTTGGCTTGCCTTCATTAAGCAGAAGTCTCACTCGGCTGCGCCTAGCCACGCTGGCAGTGCTGGTGCACTGGGTCTTGCCGCCCAGTGCGAGCTCTGCTGCGAGCTCCACGAAGGAATCCAAGCCGTGCAGCCGCAACACGCAGAGGCAAACCTCAAACTGGTACGCCAAACATACCGATCCCAGTTTCTGATGTTTGTAGTCCCCAAGGGGGTGGGTTTGCAGGGGGTCATAGAGAAGTGGTGAAGACCTGCGCTCTAAAACATCTTCGAACGACTTGAGACAGTGCGGTGGGGTGTGACTTATATACCGAAGGAACAAAGCTAGCGAACTAGTTTCTGGCTTCGGCCAAAATTACAGGATCCAAAGCCGCATCAAATCCAAAGCCCAAGGCAAACTGCCAAACCCATTCCCGGACGGCGCCTGGCGGCGGCGCACACAGGTGCCCCGGGACAGGCTCCGCTCCCAGGCAGCCATCGCTGCCAGCTCCTCCTGCCATGAGCCCATGGGGATGTGGCCGATGTGTCCAAGAGGAAAGACTGTGGCATAGAATGACCCCCAGAAAATTGGGAACGCAAGGTGGCCGAAACGAATTTTGTTTGGCATTTTGAAAACCCCTCATTCATTTTTGAGAAGCAGTATTCCTACAAAACGCACAGAATCACAACTTTTGCCACAGCCCGACCCTGCCATGATTCGTGCCGTATGACCCGCGATACGATTCTGCCTCTAGTGTGGGCTTCTCACTCTCAGTGTCCCCAGCTTCAGTTGGTGTTTCCTTGGCTGGAGAGGAAGGTCTGATGTGCTGGCACGACGCTTCCCGACCTTGTGGCACTTCTTTCTGAAGGGACCCAACATGGACCACAAGCGCAGCCTCTCAAGCTCCATGCCAAGCGTCTGCGCTCTGGTCATCGCGGGCTGGCTCCTCTCTTGGCTTCTTTGCGCTTGGCAACCGAGAACGGCTGGATGACCCGGGAGCGTACTGAACAAAGCTGGAGACGTTGGGAGCCTCATTCTCGCTGTCGCTGCTTCCATGGTCGGTGTAGATCGTCAGCCTGCCTTGGACATTTGCTTACATACTGACATCCGATTGGGGATGCTTTCATTTTCACACTGCGACGTCTGTGGGTGATCTTATGGCTGGCGCATGACTTCCGCACACTTGCGAGGTTCGGCTTATGTGGGGATGTCAAGCAAATCGGGCCCTTTTTGGAACTGGTGACATCCAATGCCGCCTCCAAACAGGATCTTCCTGAAAAGCCACAATTTGGAGACCCTCACTGCCAACGAGTTTCTGTTCGGAGCGGCAAGGCTCTCCTTGCTGCTGACTCTTGAGACGCGCTCATTGGCACGGGGCTCCACGGCGCTCAAAGGCCGTTGGCGCTCTGACCTGCGCGGCTTTCAAAGTTTCCACTGGAATACCATTTTCCCCGGAGGGTCGCGGTTTGGAGGTAGGGGGGCAGATGTGTGATGTCGCCAAAACGTTGCCACCTCTGCATCTAGCAAAATATCTGCATCTAGCAAAATATCTGATTCAGCAATGGCACGTAGCAATGGTGCCCATATCCCCTTCAATCTGCTGCTTTACTCGAATCTGCCTCGACTCCCTAAGCACAGATGTAGATTTGTAACCATGCAAAGGAAGTCCTCCTTGAAATCTAGTTTGAAGTAAGAATCTTTATTTTTTAAATTATTCTTTAAAAAACTACTATTTACATCATCTTCAAGACTAGAAATGGGCTTAGGACTGTTCACCTTCAATTTCTATTTGAATCAATCAATCCTAAAAAAAGAATCCTTTAGTTCTAGTTTGTCACTAAACATCCACTTAGAAAAAGCTTGTTTAAAACCTTGTGAACATGGCAAACATCCCAAGATCGCTCTGCGATCCACCGGTGTGATACAAACAAAGCACAGCCTGGAGCGATGTCATGCAGCCATAAGCCGCTAGTCCAGGGAGGGAAAAGGGAGGGCCAAAAAACAGCCAACATCGATCATTGACAGGATGTGGTTCGTCCTGTTTCTCTCGCTTTCGGCCTAGTTTCCCAAGATCGCTCTGCGATCCACCGGTGTGACACAAACAAAGCACAGCCTGGAACGACATCATGCAGCCAGAAGCCGCTAGTTCAGTCATGCAATACTGCACTGCAAGTCTCTATGACACACCGGGGACATGCACAAAATGCAAAAACTGCGTTGGAGCTCGCATTAAACTCAATAGTCTGTTTCGCCTCGGGCGGCAAATGGTGTAATAACAACCAACTTCTTGGAAGTAAAATTCTAAGGTTCGCACGCTGGACCACCGGCCGCGCCACGCAATGAGCGGCAGGTTTTCAGTTTCGAGGTACAAAGCGGTGGCGCCAGAACCCCGCAAAGAGCCTGGGGTAACACCCCGACCCTTGCGTTTGAAAGGAACACCCAATTTCCGAAAAATTGCATTCCGCTGGTTCCGGAATGCCCCTGCTGAGCCCAGGTAGAGCTTGCAATCCAAAGGTATCTTTTGCAGAAGGCAATCACAGAAGCATCGTCAATTCTTGCATGTTGCCGGCGCGCAAACCGAGATGTTTTTGGGTTGGCCAATCGCACGTACAAAGAATTCGAAGAAGTCAGAGTGCAGAAGGCAATACCAAATCTCGCTTAGTCAAATGTAAAAGCTCACCGGGGCGCAGCATGCCTGCGAAGCCCAACAGAACCAACCCAGTAAAACGAAACCATTGCCACAGAAGTGCCACAGCTGTGGCCGCCCGAATGATTGGCAAAGAAATGACTGGTTTGCACTCGCCAGGCTCTGCAATCTGCCACTTCCTGTCAATCTGCCAGGCCGCGGTCAATTGGTGTTTGAACTGGGGGCGCCCATCTTGGACGGCAGTGATTGCATAAACCAGAAGGGGCCTGAAGAATACAAGTAACGTCCGTAAGCGCGCAGTGCAAAGCCCAGCCACCTCGGCGTTCTGGTAAAGCTGTGGTGGTGCAATACCCAAACTCTGACTTGACCGCTCCTCAAAACCGAAGAGGCTGCGTTTCATACGGTCGGCGGTGGTTCGGCCCACGTCCAAATTCATTTCGCCACGGGGTTGTAGAGCTCGAGGAGGGCCCGGGCTTGGTTCAGTAGCAATTTTCGGGGCCGAAGATGAAGCCACAAGAGCATCAAATCACCAAAACTCCCCCTTGCGAAGATCCGCCAGCCACCGAGGCCCAAGGCGCGAAGGCGGTTCAACAGCCCCGTCTCGCGAAGGAGCGTCGGCACGGTTGTTTTTGCTGTAACAATGGAGCCCCCAGCCAGGTAAAGACCAGCCCCGATAATGTAAGGAAGGGGTCCGTGAAGAACATGCGAAATTGCCCAGCTGCTTGAGCGTCCTTTTGACGACGCCTCCAAGGTAACCCGGCTGTCAAGGAGCCCAACCAAACGGGAACCAGGGTGTGCTCTTGCGCAATGCTTTAACCAGCTTTTGTAAACTTGGCACTCCAAAACATTTATGTGGCCCGTGGAGCGGAACCTGTAGCGAAACAGTTCGTGAAAGTCAAGGGACTCGCACAGCTCAGTGATCCACTCTGGGTCATCCCACCAATCTCGCCGAGCTGGCGAAAACGCAGGCGGGTTGCGTACGGAGCCATCTTCACAAGTCCACCGGGCCATTGCCAGGCCCTTCAGCTTTTTGCTTGCAGGAATCACCGGCGCAGAGCCTCGAGCAGCAGCCAAGCTCCCTGCAGCCATCAGCTTGCAGAACGGTGTGGGTAAGTTGCTGCGAAGGATGAAACTTTTTTTATCTGGTGAAGGGCAGCGTCCATAGACATCCTTTGCAGATGGAAGGCGTTGGGCGTCAAATTCTTTGGCTGAGTCCAATGTGAAGGCGCCCTGCGCGGCAATCGTGTCTGCCCTTATTGCGGCACGCGTACCTGCCTTCAAGAGGCAACAGCCAGCCCTTGGTATGTAACCACTTCGCTGGCTTGTTGCACAGGCTGCCAAATGAACACAAAGTGAACTTAGTAATCACGCAACCAAGGTGACAGGGACTCGGAAACAATGCAAATCAAACATGACAGAAGAATCCGGTTGCTCAACAGAGAAATATAGCCCTGAGAGTAATGGCTCCAATGAAAGCAGTTGTGCAAAGCGGTAAATGGCTCGGACGGGCAGAATCCAGCTGGTTGCGACTTGGAGCGAACTCTCGGCCGGCGCAAAATACCGAATGACAGACATGGAGGTCCGCAGTGCCAATCCCGAACCACCTTGCGAAGGGCCAAACTGAGAACAGCTTGGTAAACACGCGTGTCTCCCAAAAGCCTGCGACCAACAATGTCAGACCCGGAACCTGCCCGCAGGCCAGTTTCCCAAAGACTGAAACAATTCAACGAAATCAAAAAGAATACCTTCTTGCAGCGCCCTTGGGATAGAAGGAGGGGATACTGGACATGTGCTCTGAAGTTCAGGAACCGGCGAGAACAGCGCTTGCGGGCAGACAACAGCATCGTGTAATAGCCTCGTTGTTCACAACGTCGCCAGAACTTTCCAACAACATGCGGCGGCAGCTTGCAGTACACTATTCCACCTCCTGTCGGGCTTGCGTCCAGGCTGTATATACGATCGGCAGGGCTGGCTCCTAAATCTGTTTGGCAGCAAGGCTCAAGGATTGCGAGGCTGAGCAATTCCCAGCGCGCTCGGCAACTGAGGCAAAACACGGCTCGTCTGGGGAGGCCCTTGCCTTCTGAGACGACGTGAATCCAGCGTCCCAAAAGAGAATCCAAAATAGCAGGGGTGCGAGCGCCCTTGGTTGCAACCGAAATGGCGCACAACATGAGCAGCAAGATCCGCCCCCTCGGAGCGCCCACACGGCTCACGTCCCGCTAAGCCGTCGACCTCAGCCCCCAAGGCCGTGTGAGTGCAGTTCCTCTTCGTACATTTCGCTCAAGTCGTCAGTAGACACATGAAAACATTTTTTGGGGTGGAGTTGCAGCATGCAAAGAAGCGATCCAGGAGCCAGGCCCTTTGTAGCCCTACTGTAAGGCATCATACAAGAGTTGAGAACAGTGGGTTCAAGATAAGCCTGTCAAAACTGGCATGCTTTGCGACTGCAAACAGCCCCACTGCCTCATGCGGGTCCACATCTGCGACACGGATCAAGCTGCAAGCAAGCGCTCAAAGCGTTGCACTTTGTGCCTAACTCAGCAAATTTGCACGGCCGCAATGAACTTTAGCACGGGGTCTGTGGGGCCATTCCTGCGGAGGGAGCCGCAAAACACTCGGGTCTTTGTAGGCGGCCTTGACAACGGGGTCATCCAGAAAAGGAACAGGGTCAAAACTAGTCCACTTTATGCAATCGGCTTGCACAGGTCTGGCTGAATTTGACAAAGTAGCGCTGCAGCGCCAAGTCGGAGAGCAAAAAGTCAGGCTGGTGAAGGAAATAGTCAGCCAAGTCCTGAACACGATCAACTATGTCTGCTCAAAACTCAGAGGTTCACCGGCCTGAGCATCCAGTTCAAAATGGCGATCATGGACTGAACCAAGCAAGCCCGAGGTGTGTGGTACTTCTCCCGACTCCGCTTTCAAGGCAATGGGTGAGGGGTCTCCACAATTGTGGGGGCACAGGCCAAAGAGGGCAACGACGTGGGGCCGTTGCCTGAACACTGTGAGATTTTCACGCAGGTCGGAGTGAAAGAAAGCCGAACGAAACGGCCAAGAGCCGTATCACTCGAGTTCACCATGTTGACACACCTGGCCACTACATCAATGCACTGAATCCGTCCCATTATTGAAAGGACTGACAGGCTTGCGATCGTCCGGCTGTCTACCGACGCAACCTGCTTCGCTCCCAAGCTCCCAAGAGAAGGTGAGCGACACAGTCACAGCTGAGAACTAACCCCAACCTCCTGAGCGTCCAAGTCGGCGACGGCGGCCTGGAGCGGGTCGTGGGTCTTCTGCGAAGCGGGGTGCTTCATGAGCTGTTTGCTGCGTCTGCAGGAGCACATCTTCTGCGTCGGATCGGACGTGCTGATTGCCGCAGCTTGAGCATTCAGCTCCGTGCACATGGTGGCCTCGTCCGCGTGCTCTACCAAGGCCTGAGTTCGGAAACCCGCCCAGTTCGGCTCGCAAAAGACAAGACGGCCGGGCCAGCGGCTGCTTTCAGCCGGCTCAGCTGAGCGGCTGACAACGGGGCTCGGCGCTTCTTTGGACCCCGAAGACTTCGCTGCTGCCTGAAAAAAAGCAAGTTCCCGCTCCATTTCCGCCATGCGCTTCAGCAAGTTGGGGACGTCGTGCTCCGGCTTGGCAGTCTCCAGCTCTCCAACGGCTCGCCGTTCACACCGCTCTCACAGGCGAAGTGTCCGTCTCGATCTGCTTCTGCGCCGCGTCCAAGGCCTGCTGAGTGACGCGTTGACCAACGGCCCCCCCCCGCCACCATGTTTATGAGATGGTCGACAGGGGCTGACTGACATGCAGCGGCAACCAATCCAGCCCAGGCCAAGCAAAGTCTGCGATCACGCCTTCGAACGGTTTCCAACTTGGGTCTCGTGCGTCACAACTTGCCCAGAAGCTCGGAGGACAGATAATTGAGGAACTCGGTGACCTGAGCGTCCTGTGGCAGAAGCACCCTGAAGCCGTTGCTCCGCACTTTCACCACACCTCTGCCGCAGTGCCAAGCAAGTTGACTGGGAGTGGCGGGGATCCACCGGCCGAAGCTTGAGCGGCAGCCCTCACCTGGTTCCTGGCCCCCAAAGCGCAGCCCGGGCAAAAAGTCAGCTGGTGCCTAGCAAGCCGGTGTCTGGAAGCACTTCCCGCCGGAGCCAGCGGCACAGGACTGAGCCAGCGGCAGACATGCAGCAAAGCCCAGGCCAACTGGCGGCGAAGTGCCTAAGACAAAGCCAAGGATGAAGCAGCCTGCACCCACTCCGATGACCAAGAGGAGAATAGGGCCCCAAGGGCAGGATGGTTGCCAAGCGGCTGCTGGCACCAAAAGATAGCGCAGCTCATGGAGGAATCTACAAAAGGGGCACCAAACATGAACCAAAAAGCTTGGCGGCCAACATCGCACATTCACAGGATATTTTTCATTATGTTCAAACAAACAAAAACCGAATATGTGCTAAGAGATCTGCATTTGCAAATCTACTTTAAAAGGGAAAACTATTTGGATACTCATTAAACTGCGTAGAAATCCCTCCAGAATGATGTCCTTATTATACTATATTTGAATTCTGTTAGAAAGTTGAAAAACGCAACCCCCCACACAATAGGAGACGATTGAGCTCATCTGGGTCGCACAGGCTTGTTCCAATCCCTTTCAATTCAAAGCCAATGCATCCTCTGCATGCGGTGTGGTTTCACACGATTGCAACCGATAATAACCACCATCGTGGCCTGCCACACCCTCTTGATCCTGATTGGGAAACCTCCCCGTCATGATGGGTAAAACTGGTGCGTTCCCTGTAAACAGGATTAACTTTACAATGACTCCAGGCTTCCTAATTAGGTGCACCAAATTAAAGGTTTATTGATCAATCAGCGCACCCCGAGCCCAAAGAGAGTTGCGAGTGGCATTTGATCAGTCAAATCACCTTTCTAAGTAAAAGGCGTGATAATCAAACAACACACCCCTCCCTGCACAAAACTGAAGGATGTTCAATTACATTCAGCAACTCACCCATGCTTCATTGATCAACACTCCGCGCCTCACCAAGGTTTCTTGAGCAGCGAACGAACACACACACACACAAACAAACAAACAAACAAACAAACAAACAAACAAACAAACAAGCAAGCAAACAAACAAACCAAGCCAAACAAACAAATTGCTTGCTTGCTCGCTCGCTTGCTTGGTTGCCTGCCGGCCTGCATTGACTGCTTGCTTGCCTGCTTGCTTGACTGCTTGCTTGCTTGCCTGCTTGCCTGCCTGATTGCTTGCTTGCTTGCCTGACTGCTTGCTTGCTTGCCTGCTTGCCTGCCTGCCTGCTTGCCTGCCTGCCTGCTTGCTTGACTGTTTGCTTGCCTCGTTGCTTGCCTGCCTGATTGTTTGCCTGCTTGCTCGCTCGCTTGCTTGTTTGCTTGCTTGCCTGCGTGCTTGCCTGCTTGCTTGCCTGCCTGCCTGCCTGCCTGTTTTCTTGTTTTTGTGTTTATTTATTGTTGGTTTGTTTATCTGTTTGTTTGTTTGCTTGCTTGCTTGTTTGTTTGTTTGTTTGTTTGGCAAGCAGGCAAGCAAGCAAGCAAGCAATCAGGCAGGCAAGCAATCAGGCAAGCAAGCAATCAGGCAAGCAAGCAGGCAAGCACGTAAGCAAGCAAGCTAGCAAGCAAGCTAGCAAGCAGGCAGGCAAGCAGGCAGGCAGGCAAGCAGTCAAGCAGGCAGGCAGGCAAGCAGGCAAGCAAGCAGTCAGGCAAGCAAGCAATCAGGCAGGCAGGCAAGCAGGCAAGCAAGCAGGCAGGCAGGCAAGCAGTCAAGCAAGCAGGCAGTCAGGCAGGCAGGCAAGCAGTCAGGCAGGCAGGCAAGCAAGCAATCAGGCAGGCAGGCAGGCAAGCAGGCAAACAAGCAGGCAGGCAAGACAGCCAGCAAGCCCACACGCACACAGCCCCTCCCTCATCACCCTGTGTTTGACACCGAGCCGCGGCCGGTACTTGCGGCCGTGCGCTTTCAGCTGCGGGGCGCTGGACGGCCGCGGCGGTGGGCGCGGGCGGGCGGGGCTGGAAGGGCGCATTTCGGAGAAGGCGCTGCGCGCCTTGAGCGAGCGGAAAGGCGAAGTCTCAAAGTGAAGTCATTAATGTCAAAGTGCGAGTCCCCTGGGTTTGAATCAACTGCTCAGAGTTGCGGAAACCACGACTAAAAGTCAAAGCCGCCTCCCCTCCAACTGAAACCATTGTGGATTTCGTCACAAACATCCCCCAAGCGATTCCAAATCAAAGTGACCCCAGTCTCTGACTTTCATGACCCCAGCAATGGGCCACAATGGGCGCTGCCTGGAAGGACCACAAGGCTCCCTGGGTTGGGCCATCATGTGTAGGCTTTCAATAGGAGACCAAAGGAAAACTACAAGTTTCAGGGTCGGATCTAGCCTGTGAGGGAAATGGTTTGATGATGCTGGGAATGCCTTTATGACAAACGAGCCGAATTGCACAAAGCGCTTGTACGGGGTTAAGGGGGTCAGTTGCCAATAGTAGTTGCCCTCGGAAAGTGCCTTCTTCATGTCTGCCCTCCTTGGCCGGAGAGCGACAGGCCTCCAAACGAAGAGTAGCAATACCAACGCAAATTCTCCGAGCGGCAACATATCAACGTATATCAACCCATCAATAACAAATAGGACCAGCTCCTGCAGCATTGTGCCCCAAATGCGGCCCAGCGTCGGCGTAGCCCGCGCTGGGTGGGCGGGAGCTGCATGCGCTCTGCGGCCGCGACTTGGAGCGAGCGGAGCTGGGTCGGCTGAGTGGCCGACTCCCTGCGGGCACCTCAGCGGACATGAGACGGGAGAACGCGACGACAACAGTGGTGCCCGGAGAAGATGCGCCCACAGTGGGCCCTAGATTCCTTTTACGCATTTATACATGCAGGGTAGATATTTGCCTCACACAAAGGTGGCCCACTGTCTGAGCTTTTGATCATCACTGGACTGTCAACACAGTTGCGCAAGGAGGGTTGAAACTGCTCAATCAGTTTCGTGCCGGCAACGCTCTTGCTTGAGACACCCCACCGGTCTCAGCATAATATGAACGCTTCTCCAATATAGCATCTGAAGTAACCTCCCTCGCAGTCCCAGGTTCAGCCCCTTTTGCCAACAAACATTCTGGCGGGTTCCATCTTGGAGCGGACGATTCACTCACAGCCTTTCTGGGTCACTTAGACAGTTAACATTTGCTGGTGATGGAAAATGATGGACAATCAAAAAGGGAATTCGAAGAGAAGTTGAGTCGGGCAATGCTTTGCCACCATCCCAACCCTTTGCGTCTGGACACCCAGGGGGGCGCTGGCGCCACGTAGTAGGCCGGCGCCTTGGGCGCCGGCGTGCTAGCTACCCAGGACCGCCGGGGCGGGAGCTCCCACACCATCACCTTGGGCCCGACTGATGGGACCTTGATGGCCACGCGTAGGTGTTACGCATTGCAGGTGCTGGTGTCATGGTTGGAAGAGCAACAGAACGGAAGATGTCCTGCCCGTGCCCGCTTTGACACTGCCATGAGGAATGTAGTATGGTCAGTATTAGAAAATTGCACCGGCACCCCAAGTAGCATAAAACAACTGGCCGAGGATTGCACAGGGACACTTCTGGGTGTAGGATTCAGAGGTTCCTGATGTGGAAGTGACAGACCGAAAACCTTAAGTGTGTTCGTTTGCTCCATTTGTGTGGGCAGCCTAGGTGCCTGAACCCAGCCGTCAGTCTCACAAAATGCGCCCTCACAAAAATGCGCCCACCGCCACCACCCAGCACCCCAAACTGCATGCCCCCTAGCACCCGGGTCACAAGCACCTCCAACAACACCTGCACCAAACTAATAAACGTGCGTGCACCAGTACCAGCACCCCAAACTGCACCCTGCCCTCAATCTCCCAAGAATGCGCCCACACGGTCACCAGCACCTCAAACAGCACCTGCACCAGCACCCCAAACTGCATGCCCCCCAGCACCCGGCCGTCGATCGCGCAAAAATGCTCAAACAATGCCCCCTGGCACCCGGCCGTCGATCGCGCAAAAATGCTCAAATTACACCAGCATAGACCCCAGATAGCGAAGCAAATGCCAACGATTGCACGGTAGCACCTCTAACAGCACTGCACCAAGAGCACCTCAACCAACACCCCAAACAGCAAAGACCCCCCTGATATCAACCGCGGAAGCCCGCACCATCACTCCGAACAGCACCCTCAAATAGCTAGCACTCCCAGAGCACCCGACCGTCAATCTCGCAAAAATGCGCCCATGTGCCAAACAGCACCCCAAACAGCACCCCAAACAGCACCTACACAAGCACCCGAAACTGCACGCCCCCTAGCACCAAGCTGTCAATCTCGCAAATCACTTTCCCTTCTTTATTAGAAGTTAGAACCCCTTTAGCTTTCAGCTATCTGGTGAAAAACAATGCCCCCTGGCACCCGGCCGTCAATCTCGCAAGTCACTTTCCCCTCTTCATTAGAAGTTAGAGCCCCTATAGCTTTCAACTATCTAGGGAAAAAGAGGCCCGAATACTTCCCGTTGCTCCTCTGCCAAAGGGATCAATGTCTCTCCTCGTCCCCGCCGCAAGAACCGGCATCGTGCCCCCTCTTCCAAAGCAAAGCCACTGTTGATTTGAAGTGCCAAGCTTGGGAGGTGACCGAACTTCAAGCTCCGTTCTACGCGCGCCTGTGCTGCGTCTGAACATGAGCTCTTTCTTGCTGGCCGGTGCTACTGCCTCACTTGGGGTTGTTGGACGTCAGTTGGGTTCCCTTGTCATGGCCCAGATTGAAGTGGACGAAACATCGTGGCCTGCCGTTCGTCCTTTCGCGCGTCCACTTCAAGAAAAACATAAACCTTGCTTGAGCCGAGCGCCCGGGGTTCACACCCACGTGTCACAATCTGTATGGTGATACGCCGATCATGCAAATGACTGCGCGGTGAGAAGCTGGCTCTAGTAGCCCGCAACCTTATCGGTGCCTTGCTTCCTCAACGCCTGCCCAAAGTTTGCACGCTTATTCAAAGGGCTTGGCCGATTTTTCGGTGCTTCACATCCTGTCAACAAAGGTCGCATGCGCAAATATAATAAAGACACAGGTGCCGTTCAATTGACTGCAGGATTGCTCCTGTCTTTTTCAGCCTGCCATAATGTCAAAACTACTCAAAGACTTTGCGACTCTTCGAGTCGAAGCCCCCGACGAGCAAGCCGCTTGGCAAGGGCACAGCAGGAGCACTGCCTGAACGAATCGGTGCCAGAGTCCTTTTTCCACTAGCGAAGCAATGGAAGAGGAAAGCGGCCCCATGTGAGTCTATGGATTTTTGCTGAAAGGAACAAGTTACTCGCACTACCAATGGATAACCGAGCTCCTGGAATAATCAAAATCCGCCGACATTGTTCGGCGTGTCGGATACCTAAGAGAGGACTATTGGATAACCCCCCCCTTAGTCCCCCCCCGGGACATGTCAAACACGCATGGTTTTTCGGTCGCCACCCCCCCCCCCTCCCCCCCCCCTCCCCCGCGTACCGCGCGGCAATTTGATGACGTTCCACTAAACGTAGTCTTCGGGGAGCGGGTCTGGAGAAACGGGGGTCCCAGGCTCGAATCCTCCCGCCGCCTCTTTCTGCCGGCTGAGGTTTTGTGCTGCCTTTTGCGGAAAACTTTGAGACACACGGTGTTCGGTGTTTTTCCTTTGCTGACACCATTGAAAAAAACATTGTGTTTTCCGATTTCCTTGACAATTGGCACCAATTTCCCCCCAATTTCCCCTAATTTCCCCCAATGCTTCCCCGCAAATTGCGCCTTACTTTCTCACCAATTCCCCCTCAACACCCCTCAGAAATCAGCTTATCCGCGCACCCCGCCAAAATGACATGCAGTGGCCATGACATACCACCCAGCACTAAGGTGCCCTAAACGGCGAGCCTTCCTGTTCGCAATTGTACGCCCTGTTTGGTCGCCACCCTTTCCCAACATTTTACTTGGAGGCATGGTTCGGCGCCCTTTTTGGGAGCACCCTCTTGGTGGCACTCAACACACACTCCGCCGACATTGCTCGGCGTGTCGGGGAGGACGGGGGAACCAGAGAGGACAGAAGAGCATACTCGGGGGACACGGGCGAGAGGAAGAAGGAGACAAGCTAGATGCCAATGTCGGCGGACTGAGCCGGAGGCTCTAAAGTACTGTTGGGGAAATGACAGATTGATAGGAACACTGCGGGAGCTGCAATAACTTCACTTCCTTCGGCGAGGGATCTGGCCAGCAGCCTCAGTAGTGACGCGCCACTCAGGGACGGGTAAATTGACCTTGGCAACCCGCTGAAACTCTGACGCAGGTCAACAGGAAGGGAACTGCCCTCAAAAACCATGCACAAAGTCGGAACTGCTGAACCACGCACACATTCAAGCTTCTCTGAATCGCACTTTGGACCAAAGCTGTCCAGCGTAAGAATGCAAATGCAGCAAAGCAAAATAAATGCGCAAGAAACTCTCAATGCGGCAATAATCATCATTTGATAGGCGAGAGACCCACTCAGCGACAATATACTCAAGGAAGCCTTCCTTCTCCAGTTGCTGGTACAAGGACAGGCGCCGGTTGCCGGTGTAGGTCCACCAACGTGGCTTTGCCGACACCCTCCAATGACTGTGCCACGTTATTTTGATCTGCTCGATGTCTTCCAACTTGCATTTTCCAGATCTGAGACTTTCAAGAGTTCCGTCGAGAGTCTTACCATCCTGGACGAGCGTAGCTACCCTCCCCAAGCCCCCTGCCCCCAACTTGCCTAAACAGCCCTATGGTCAGGTTGGCGGGTCCAGGCAAGTTGAGGACAAACGCGGCGGGAGGTGGAGGGAGGTGAGATGAGTCATGGAGCCCTGTTTTACTTGTTTTGAAACAACTAAGCCCAATCCTGAAAACTCGCAGAAGTCCAGGCGCACATCAACAGCATGAGTTTCAACAATTGCAAACCCGAGATAGGCGTGTTCCGCCAAAGCTCCGGGCTCAAGTAGCGAATAAAATTGGGGCAAGCGGCCGTGAAGCTCTTTGAGATCGAATCCTGGCTGAAGGTCACGTCACTGGGCCGGATCCTCCACAACCTGCACCTGCGCACAAGAAAAACATCGGAATACCAAGGAGCTTGCCAAAGGAGCGCATGGCAAGGAATGGATGGATGGATGGATGGATGGATGGAAGGAAGGAAGGAAGGAAGGAAGGAAGGAAGGAAGGAAGGAAGGATGGATGGATGGATGGATGGATGGATGGATGGATGCTTGGATCCTGGATGGATGGATGGATGGATGGATGGATGGATGGATGGATGGATGGATGGATGGATGGATGGATGGATGGATGGATGGATGCTTGGATCCTGGATGGATGGATGGATGGATGGATGGTTGGTTGGTTGGTTGCTTGGTTGCTTGGTTGCTTGGTTGCATGGTTGGTTGGTTGGTTGGTTGGTTGGCTGGCTGGGTATGCGTGGTTGTGGTTGTGGTGGTTGCGGTTGTGGTTGTGTGCTTGTCCATAAGCATTGGCACCTAGTGGCAACAGCTGACCATTGACACACAAACAAACCGACCCAATAAAACATCGGCGGCCAGGGAACTGCCGAGCAACTTTCGCCTGGCCTCCTGCCGGAATCAGGCAGCCTCCAACCCGGCCGGTTGGAGGCATGACCCCAGCAGCTGAGAAAAGAGATCGAGTGCTCAGGGAGCTGGTGGATGATCTGACGGAAGATGGCAAAACGCCTTCGTATTGTATGACCTGGTTCTCGCCATGCATGTTTAACAGCATATGACAGAATTGGAAATGACAATGTGCGCGAATGTGAAGTTCGGGCAATTGCTGCCCAAAAATATGGCATTTCAACACGAACCCAACCCATCTTACACTGTTCTCATCCCAGTCTGAACAAGTGCAGCTCCGCATCACCAGAAGAGACCAAACACAGCAGCAAGCATACTCTCAAAATGGCACCCCTCTGCGCCGACTGCGTTGGTCAAAAACTTTCAACGCGAGCCTTGAAGTCCGTGCAGTATTTCTGCGGGCGCACTTGGATGCACCACTCCTTGTTGGGGGCGCGTCCTCGAGGATATGACACAAAGATGTGTGCGTCTTTGCAGCACTTTCTGGGGCATTCCCAGCCTCAGGTGATCAGTTTGGATGTGCCATAACCCATGGAAGACTCATGCAAAAGCGACCCCCTGTCACCGACCCGCTTGACATGTGAGCCTGCTGGAAAGCGCCCTCGGTCAGCTTGTCAAACCGCCAAGTGCTTGCAATACCCTAGCAGAATTGGAAGCCCGAGTTTATGTGTCGGATCTTCATGAACAAACCGGCGTAAACCTCCACATGTTCGCACCAAAGCCGACAACATACAAGCATCGAGAAGCGGATCTGTGAGCGCTCCACGCATTTCTACCGACTGCCGACTGCGTGGAGCTCGTCAATGTCTTTCCAGACTAGTTGCAACTCACGATTCAACAACCAATGAAGAACACCCCCCCCCCTACCCCCTGCAATCCCTGCACTTTGGACATGACAGCCAGCCCTCTTTAGCATTTCGGAAGTGCGCCATTCTATCTGAGGCCAAGCCACGAGGCAGTTCCCAAACGCCATGATAACCGTCGGTGTCCAGTGGCCCACACCCAGCTGGCCCAGCTGGGGAAGTCTCGGGCTCGTACTGAACCTCTGGTTGAGCAGATTGAGCATCTAGCTTTGCCACCGGCTCCTCAAACAAGCAAGGCCCAATGTAGTGACTCCAACCAAAACTTTGGACTTAACGGAGTCTATCAGCCAATTAGTGAAAGGCAAAGTGCAATCCCGAAGTGTTGCTTGCTCAAAGAGCTGTGACTTAGAATGCGAGCGGCTCTCCCAACCGAACTAATGCTGAGGCAATGATGAGTGACCGAACAAAATGATCCTGGACCTTGGCCTCAGACTAGCTCTGAGAATGACACAACGCCATGGACCTGAAGTTGTCGTTGACCCGAATATCAGCTGCCCTCTCCTCACTAAGCTTCGCCTTGGCCCTTTTCAGCCGATTTTGCAGCCTGGCACGTCCTTGGTTCTTGCCTTGGCTGCCGTCGTTGATGGCCCCCAGTCTTGAACAGGCGGCAAGTCCAACCCTCTCCGCCCGTCCCTGCGAAAACAATTTACCCTTGACTTCCGTCCGCCGCAAAACACCCCAAGACTATTCAAACCCTGCTCTCAAGTCCAGCGGTGCTCGAAACGGCCATGCTCGGCCAACACACCAGGGCATTTGTCCAGCGCCTTGCTTTTAGGAAAGGCGCTGATCCTGAAGGAGCCATCGGGCAACTTCTCCCGCAGCGCCTCTTCGGCCGCGGCGATAGCAGCTTGCAGCTCTGTGGCCGTGCCTCAACTGCAAGCCGACAATTCATGCCTTTTGTGCTGAAACGTGGGTGTGAGTTGTTTATTCTTGTGTGACGCACCCCGCACCATTTCTGTTCCGGAGGTATGCCACGGGGGCCTGCTACCTGTCATGTCTTTCATGGGCGTAAACTCAAGCCAGGCTGCTTCCATCAAGCAATTTGCAAATTTCATCTGCCGTCTTTGCTACAGTTGCAGCTTGCTCAGTTGGCTCCGCGGGCTTCTCCCTGCTTTCAAACTCGCTTCGTCTCGCGCGGCTCTGCTCTGCAGCTTGCTCTGCCCACTCCACAAAGCTGAATGGCTCGGAGAAGCTGCGGAAGTTCGCGCCCGAAAGGAGTCGCAGCATCTCCATCTGCGAGCAAAGTGGCGCATGAGCTGTGTGCTGGCCACGACATTCACTACAGTAGGAAATCGCATTGCAAAGTTCACAACGTCGGATAGCAATTCCTTCCTTTCCTTAGCTTCGAGCACAGTGCCATTCAGCAGCCACATTCCGTCAGGGAACATGTTCATCAGGAGCGACGCCGCTTTTTCAGCACAAGCGAACACGGCAAAAGCGAGCAAACAAAGATAAACAAGTGGAAGCCTCACTTCTTGCCAAGCTGCTGCAAACTGCACAACACTGGATATCATCGGGGGATTGACTGCACGCTTCTGCGTGCTCCAAAACATCTTGAAGCGAGCCGGCAAACGCAAAAACCCGGCTGCAGTCCTGCACTTGCACCTCAGCTTGCGGCGGGCTGAACCTCCCGCAATAGGTTGCGTGGAGTGCTTGATGCCCCTTCGTGACAGTCCACATTGACTTTCATGCCGATGTCTCCGCTGCTGGCGATGCCCAGCTTGCGCCAATGACAGCTTAGGCTCAATCAAATCGCAATTGTTCAGGCTCGTTTCGGTGCGCGTAAACCAAATTTGGAAGTGTCAAATACTGATCTAGAGCCAGGACCATGGAAAGACCATGGTCCTGCATCGTCTGTGTTGACCGCAAATCGTGAATAATCACCATTTGGCCGTTATGCGTCGGCTAGTGTCATTGAAACAGGAAGCTTGCTCAAGACCACGCCCGTTCAACAGAAGACCTGTTGCGACGGCACAAAACAGATCAGTGCATGAGGTTGCTACAAGGCCAAAGTTCAATTCAACGATTCATGTCTGTGTATGTGTGAATGAGAAAATGCCTTCTGTTAATTAACATATATTATCAAAGGAAGTTTAGAAGGAACTTCCGTGTTACGGCAACTAATTGAAAGCTAAGCCCACGAGGAAAAATGCGCGTGCGTGTGGCAGGGGAAGAGAAAGTCGCAAAAAACATGGCCCTGCGTGAATCGGCGTTTTCGGAGATGAGAAAGTCGCAAAAGGCGTGGCGCTGTGCGTGAATTGGCGTCTCCGGAGACGCGAAAGCTAGCCTGTCCGCGGCGTCTGGTCGGAGCGGGCTCGGAGCGGGCTCGGAGCGGTCTCGGAGCGGGCTCGGCGCCGGGACCATTGGCACGGCAACGCAGAGGTTTCGCAAGGATTGAATTGCGGGGCAGGCGCAGCATTTTGGTGAGGTCGGGTGCAGATTTCGTGGCAGGCGCAGAACTTTCGCAAGGTCAACTTTTCTCAAGGATTGAATTGCGTGGCAGGCGCAGCACTTTCAAAAGGTCAGGTGCAGATTTCAAGGCAGGCGCAGCACTTTCGCAAGGTCAAGTGCCAAATTCGTGGCAGGCACAGCACTTTCACAAGGTCAAGTACAGATTTCGTGGCAGGCGCAGCGCTTTCGCAAGGTCAAGCGCCAAATTCGTGGCAGGCGCAGCACTTTCACAAGGTCAAGTATAGATTTCGTGGCAGGCACAGCACTTTCGCTTGTTTAGGTACAGATCGATAGATAATAGATAGATAGATAGATAGACTAGATAGATCAACAGAGAGAAATAGATAGATGCATAGATAGATAGACGGTTCGATAGATAGATAGATGGAGAAAGATAGAGAAAACAGAGAGATAGATAGCTAGATAGATAGAAAGAGAGATCGATAGATAGATAGATAGATAGATAGATGGAGAGAGGGAGAGAGATAGATAGATAGATGGAAATATAGATAAAAGAGATAGGTAGATAGATAGACGGATAGATAGATAGATAGATAGATAAATAGATAGATAGATAGATACATAGATAAATAGATAGATGCATAGATAGATAGATATATAGATAGATACATAGATAGGTAGATAGATAGATAGAAGAAAGAAGTAGATAGATAGATAGATAGATAGATAGATTGATAGAGAGATAGATAGATAGATAGATGAAAGAAAGATAAATAGATAGAAACATAGATGGACAGATAGGTAGATAGGTAGATAGATAGATAGATAGGTAGGGAGATAGATAGATAGATACAAAGAGAGATAGATAGATAGATAGATAGATAGTTAATGAGAGAGATAAACAAATAGATCCATATATATATATAGATATATAGATAAATACATGATAGATAGGTAGGTAGGTAGGTAGATAGAAAGATTGAAAGATAGATAGTTCGATGAAGAGAAAGATTGTTAGATAAATGAAACCATAACCTCCCAAACAGAAAGTGTTTTCCTTTGTGACTGTGCCACCTGGAACAATTCTACTATGTGAGAATGTTGCTGACGTTGTCTGGATACCGCAAACAGTTGCCGCTGATGGATTTACCGCCGCCGTTTCTTTGACTCACCTACAGGCCCAATGGTGTCTTGAGCATTGGTTACTCACCCACACACACACACACGAACACGCACACGCGCAGGCGCAGACAGTCGTCTCACCTCCTAGCACAAACAAACAGCCACTGAGCATGTTTTTTTACACCTGCCCTTGCGATTACAACTGGTCAGTGTTACTTTTTAGCAACAACAAAGCCAAGAGCTGAAACAGTTTGCCCTTCGGGGCTTTCCACTTCCGGCGCTGGCGCCATGGCAAGTGAAGCTCGCTTCGCACAGCTTCTTGTGTACCTGGATGAGCACCGTGCAGAGCTGGAGGCACTTCAGTGCAATGACATGCGGGAGCTTCTGCGAACTGGCGAGGCCAGGCAAGGACGCGTAGCAGTGCCGGAAAGGGCAGCGTGGTATCGCTACTTGCGCCAACAAGAGCACTTGCTTTCGGCAGCCCAGGTGGAACAATTGCGTGCTCGTGAGAATGTGCTTTGTCAGCGAGCAGACGCTGAACGCTTGGCGGTTCAGCCGGCCCTTCAGCAGCAGCTGGATAAGCTGCTTGAGTTGCTCGAGCGGCGCTTCGATGAGTTTGCAGCGCTCCGCCAGCCGTCCTTGAAGGCTGTCTTCGACGCCCACGCTGCCAAGTCCGACAAGGAGATGAAGTTCGGCCAGAATTTCATGAGCCGTTGCTTCCCACAGCTTTCGCAGCAACAGCAGGACGTGCTGGCAGAGTGGGAGGCCATGCTCTGCGAGCCTGCAGCTGATCAACGCTTGGCGGTTCAGCCGGCGCTTCAGCGGCAGCTGGACAAGCTGCTTGAGTTGCTCGAACGGCGCTTCGATGAGTTTGCGGCGCTGCGCAAGCCATCCTTGAAGGCTGTCTTCGACGCGCGCGCTGCCAAGTCCGACAAGCACATGAAGTTCGGCCAGAATTTCATGAGCCGCTGCTTCCCACAGCTTTCGCAGCAGCAGAAGGATGTGCTGGCAGAGTGGGAGACCATGCTCTGTGAGCCTGCAGCCGATCAACGCTTGGCGGTTCAGCCGGCGCTTCAGCGGCAGCTGGACAAGTTCCTTGATTTGCTCGAGCGGCGCTTCGATGAGTTTGCGGCGCTGCGCAAGCCATCCTTGAAGGCTGTCTTCGACGCGCACGCTGCCAAGTCCGACAAGGAGATGAAGTTCGGCAAGAATTTCATGAGCCGCTGCTTCCCACAGCTTTCGCAGCAGCAGAAGGATGTGCCTTCAGAGTGGGAGACCATGCTCTGTCAGCCTGCAGCCGATCAACGCTTTGCGGATCAGCCGGCGTTGAAGCGGCGCGTGGAGAGATACCTCGAATTTCTGCGTAGTCGCAGATCGTGTTTTGTGCAGCGTGGCGTGTCGACTCCCGAGCAGCTGTTTTGTGCGGGATAGCGACTTCCGATTCGGGTACCGGTTCCTGCGGCCGCTGTTGTCTTCAGACGCGCAGGCGCAAGTCTCCGAAGCTTTTCAGGCTGCTGTGCATGGCAGTGACACTTGTGTCGTCAAGCGGCCGCATGAGCCAAAGTTGCACGAAAAGGAGACCCAGCTCGCGGACGAACTGCCACGACCACGGCTGCCCAAGAGCCTGCGCCAGCTCCGCACTTTTTTTCATGCAAGAAGTCGACCAGTTTCTTCTGGAGCAGGAGTTTGCCGCATGCGAGTACTGCAAGGAAGGCTGGTTCGGCACGAGGCGCACGCGGGACGACATGCCGGGCAGGTTCGAGAGCGGCGTCTTCAAGAGGAGCAACTTTTTGCTTGCTCCAGAGACGGAGTGGCTGGAGCCTGGCCAAGCCATCTGCCGCAACTGCTTGGCAGAAGCAAAGGCACGTGCCAAGGATGGACTGCCGCGGTGTCCATTCCGCTTCACAGCAGCGAACTACGCCGACCCCGGCGTGTCTCTGCCAGAGACAGACGCGCTGACGCTTTTTGAGGAAGAGCTGCTCTCGCCCATCCAGCACATAGTGCGCATTTTCACGCTGCATGCCACCGGGCAGTGTGAGCTGCGCGGGCACGTGGGCAACTTGTTCCAGAACAGTCCGCAGTACGTGCGTCAGATCCCAGCGCTTGTGGGAGACATGAAGATGCTCCTCGTTCGGCGGCGCCCGAAAGATCCGGCTCGCAAGCAGCGCGTGCCCTTTCTTGCGTCTCGGCGGCGGCTGGAAAGAGCACTGGATCGCATAGCGCGACCTGCGGACGAGGGTGGCTCCTTAGCGCTGCAGCCTGGCGCGCTCACTGCCACTGGCTATGTTGATCTGGTGCGCCGTGAGAATTTGCAGCAGTTTGCCGACACAGAAGCTGGCGCGGAGCCGACGGGCTTGCAGGTGACTGTGACAGAGCAGCAAGAAACCACTTGCACTTGGAATGCCCGGTTTGTTATAACTAGTTCACGTAGTTATGTCGGTTGCCAACAACTTGCTAACAAGGTGTAATCCTATGTTAAATGTATGTTAAGTCATTGTAAATGTATAGTTGTTAGCATATGCTAGTAAAAAACTTAGTCTTTTAAGTAACTCGATTAACTATGCTAACTAGTTAGCATTTTGTTTAATGAATTAAGTTTTAAAACACATACCCCGAACATAATAATCATGTACTACAGATTCAGCACATTCGCTTCCGCAAACAGACTTCATTTGTACCATTTTCGGAAACGAAGAATCGTATCCATGTCTGACACACGCAAGCTCTGCCATGACTGCATTTCGGTTGGAGCCTTGATTTTTTTATGTTTCACCAGCTTTTTTTTCGAACACCACGCATCGACATAATTTTCCATGGGCCACCTGGCTATTCACTGTTGAATTTCAACCAGCACGCACTGCAAGTTTTTGTTTACCAACGCAGGTTCATTCCTTGTAGCCACCGGCTAGATCCAGTTTCACCATATGAGCGACAATATGGTGGAGATCAGCTACAGGGTTGAGCTCCAGTATGAAGAGGAGCCACCAGCTTTGATTCCCAAAGAGCTCATCATTGTGGACCATGGGAAGAGCCACCTGAAGCTCAGGCCCACATCCAAAGCCATCGTCCAG